TCAGTCAACAAATGATTATATCTTGAAAATTATCTTTCCACATCTACAAAAGTAATAGGTGCGTATTTAAAAAATATATTATTTTATTTGGAGATAAATCTTCGTATTCACTGCCTGGTTTATCATTTATATAAAATTAATTAATTAACCGAACACTTTAAACATTTATTTAAATATTTCTTAAATATTAAAAATCGACCCAAGTGTTATCGACCGCACAGTGTAACGTTCAGCGGCTTATTATTATATTTATTGTTTAAATTAAATTGTATTATTATTTTTTTTTTTTATTATTATTGTTTATTGAGTGTAGGGCGCCTCCTTCATTTTCTTTTTTATTTATTTTTATTTGTTAACAGTACTGCGGTATTTTAACCAACACTTAAACGCAATTCATATTTGTGTATTTCTGTATTAATTATTTTTTGATATATATCCTGTATTAATTAACCGACCACCCAGACAATATTTTTCCTATTAAAAGTACGTAAATCTACAATACTTGGCGTAAAATCCACCCGACGAAACAATATCAATATCTAAAAAAGTACTTATACGTAATCGCCCAAATGGTATATTTAGTAGAATATGTACTCGTCCAAACGATCTACATCCAAATATTTATAGCTTAAAAATAAACATGCACAAAAAAATTAATTTATGATATTTTTTTTTTTTTTATCAAAAGTAAAAAAAATTGTACCTATATTACGTTATTGAAATTTGTGGTATATACATTTTCAAAAATATAAAAATGTAATTTAATATATGAAAGACATATTTTTAGATTTATTTTTTAATGAAGATATAAAATAACTATTTCGTTAGCAGTTTTTATTATTTATTTTTCGATGTATACTTGGCTGATTCGTGGAAAATTTCAATGTCATTAAATTAAAATGGCAATTTATAAAATGTGTATAAATCAAAGAATTAGGTATTAATTTTTATTTTATATATAATGAAATTGTAATAAAACGTCTTACATACATAAAAAACGTCATACATGACAATAAAATGTTTTAAAATATACGTAAAATATGAATTATCATCTAGAGTAGTGGTATCCAATCTGTGATCTGCGAAAGTATTCTATGTGATCAGTTTCAAATTTTTAAAAAAAATTAAAATTACTATAAAATACGATATTATTTATTAATTTTATTTTTGGATATTTTTAAATAGAAATTTTACGATTTTATGTCGATATGATATGTACACTTAAAAGAGCGTACCTACTGATCAAATTAATGTGTACTTACAGTGTGTACTTTATGTATCTGTAATCTATTCAATAATCAATAAAATAAATGAAAATAAATTCTACCTATACCTACCTATATATTATATACCTATAATGGGTTACAAAATTATATTATTAGATTAATATTAACATTATTCATACTTTTATATTTGGTGTTCCGTTCGAAGATAATTGTTTACTAAAATGGCCTGCCAACTAAAATGGTTGAACATCACTGATCTAGGCATAATTCTTGAGGGTTGAGGTGTAGTTAGTCCTAGTAATTCCATTTTATAGTACTTTAAAATTATTTGTACAGTAAATAACATAGATATTTCATTTTTAAGTGAGATATTTCATTTTTAAGTGATGAAGTTAGTTTTGAATGCATATGGAATTTATTAAAATACAATTTAAAATGTATTCATACCTAATACAATCCGTATATTATTAAACATATCTTATAAGACATTTTTTCGACAAGACGTTCGAATTATGATAACACCTTTATAGGCGTAAAAAATTGTAGTACCTATATAATTATTGGCAGTGTATCAAATTTATTTGAATAAAAAATTTCGTGTAAAATTATTATGTGAAAAATAATTTAAATTGCTTCCCCAAAGAGCACTTTTTAAAGAAAAAAAAATATACATAATTGTCCGTTTAATTGTAATTATTAATATTATAAATTATGTAGTTTACCTATCCCAATTGATGTATAGTTATAATGGAAATGTAACATTATTTTAAAATTACGCTTCAATGGGCACTGAGTAACGACACTATTAGATAAGCTTTTCTAATTCACAGTAATAATATATATATATATTTATATATACCTATCCTTATATTTTTAACTGACAATGCATTAATAGCAATAACATATAAATGCAATAGTTGGAATGACGAAATTATTTTAAGAACCCATTGTATACAGCTGTTTCAGAGCTCTTATCTTGCACGATTTTTTATATAGAAAACACTGTACGTAGTACAATTCAGTAAAAACGTTGAAGTTGAATTCACATTACTTAGGACTATGTCGTAATCATAATTTAGATATTAAAAATTAATTTCTTTTCTTTTATTGACCATTATTAAGCCTGTTTTATAATGTAAAATGTATGTAAAACGCAAATACTAATATATCAAATCGAGTTTGTGTTGAACATACAAGGCAATAATGTATAAATATAAAATATAAATGAATGAATATCTCGAGGATCCTCGTAGCCTACATGTTCGGATAATCCTACGACCTACACAACGTATTAAAACCTACAAGTTTAGATGACTAAAAATGATAATGAATGGAATAAGGAATGTAAATATAATAAGGAACACCTACCTACACACGCAATTTTAATAGGGTCAAAATCATGTGTTCGTAGAGTTATTTTACCTGCACAAACACCCACGTCTTACGCACGTATGTGATGTATGGTGCAAACAATGTAAGATTGAGCGTACGACAGTTTTGGAGGGAAATATACAAAAATGGTTTCTCAAACTAATGCCATAACATTCCAGCATCCGGTATGGGTAAAATACAATATTATCTGGACGATTTCTCCGATTTAATTAATAATATTCTTAACATCATAACATTTTTAACTTTTTAATGCGATATATACATATAATATATATATATTATATAACAATCAACAATTTTTCATAAAATATACATGTAACAGATATAATCAACATTTATAAAGGTATTAGAATTAAGTTAAATATTAGCTACGTACTTCATTAATATTAAAGTGACAAATTAAAACTCCCTGTAAAAATATTTTATAAGCGTATTGAATTTGATACACACCATCCAACATACACACAGGTATACAATACTCTTTGGCAAGTTAAAACTCATAATTATACTTCCCACAAAAAAGTTACCTTGTACTACATGTTTTTTCTTATCCAATAGGCATAGTAATATAGAAACAATAGAAATTATTGAAAGTCAATTCCCATCACCGGCTATTATTGTACTAGGTGTAACAGTTGTAGTGTTGTTTATACAGAGGTGTAGGTCTATCTAATTTTAAATTACTTTGATCTCCTTTACATGGTGTGTCAGCGTATTACTATGATATCATCACAAATACACTTAACAAAGGTATATTAGTTGGGAAAGGCAGGGAGATACATCTGTCAAGTTGGTTTAAAAAAAGGGCTATGGTTTAGTTTTAAAATATATTTTGTAAATAAGATCTATATAGATAAGTAAGAAAATACAGATAAGTAGTGCATCAAACATTTTAAGATATGTTATGATTAAAAATGTGTTTTAATGAAGTATAATTTATATAATTTATATATATATATTTAATTTGTATAAAGTACCCAGGAAAATTACATAACATGGTAAGCAATTCTATAAAACACTCAAATTTAATTTTATACTTATAACTATTAGGTATACTCCAACTATTAGTATAAAAATGGTTTTATAGTTAATTTTGTACAAAATATAATTGATTCGCTTCAATAAAAAACTTAGCTCTAATTAAACTTCCGATTTTTACAATATAAGTACTGTTTTAATATTTAAATATTAATATGAATAGATACATACATATTATATATTTAAACATATGTTTAAAAGTGTATGGTAGTAATATATACATATGTTACATTATCAAAGAAAACTTGTAAACTCAATCTATATTAAACCTAAATTTTATAACAAGAATTTTAAAATAAAAACTGGTTATGGATCATTATAATAGGTATGAATATTTTATAATTTTTATAATTATATCCAGTGAAAACAACTATTTAACATAGTTTATGAACTTCTTTAAATACATAATATAATTACATAATTAAGAATCTTTTGATAAAAAATAGTTTAGATAACCATTGGTGATATACAAATAAACATTAACGAGTAAATAAAGCTATAAATAAGTACTTTAAGAAAATAAGAACAACTAGCAAAATTAAATCAAACAAACAATAATAGATAAATAGAAAATATTTCACCTAATCATGTATTAATCAAGTGTCCATTTAATGTTTCACTATACACATAACGTGTAAACAAAACAGAAATAGTTTCATTAAGAAAAAATAGGAGGCTCTTATAGCACTACATACAGCAAAAACTTTAAGTAAAAGGAAATCTCATGTTTAAGTTTTCTTTAAGACTAAATTCCCTAATACTATTTTATTTCTTACATTTCACTTATATCAGAAGACTATTCATTAAAAAATATTAATTGATGTTATAAAATTATTCTTCTCCATATGTTATATCTAGTTGACATGAAGTAATGTAATATCACAACAGGTATAAGTACATTTAGGATTCAATGAGAAGGTAGTTGTTTTAATGTATTTAGAATAAAAAAAATCACAAATTAAATGAATTAAATACCGAGAAGATAATATTTGTGTTTGTTTTACACGCTTACTAATAACAAAATGTTATTTAACGTAACCAATAGTGATAAACATGTATGTGTCATGTGATCTAAGGTAGTATAGAAAAATGGTTAGTACAAAAAAAACATGTCTTAACACTATTATTCTTGATCATCGGCCAGAATATACAATACGCATGGGTACGAATTGAATGTGTATGTGTGTACGTAATAGAGACCAATGAAATAACAAAGCTAAAATTGTAAGGATTACACAGCAGGTCTATCGTTTTGCATCGATTGAATTACTACGAGCATAACGATTCTTGTAATAGATTGACTGAATAATACCATGATGGCAATAAAAATCTATGGGTACTTACGTAGCATCGTGTTGGTCGAAATCTGTTCCTGCAGATGTTAGACTGTACCATAGCAAGACGGGCTTGTAAGCTCTACCCAAAAAGTAACGGTGACAAAAAAAAAAAAAAAAAAAAAAACAAAAAATGGGATAACGATATTATTACAACGGTTGGATGACGAAAAACTAAGGGTATGAAACACGGAAAATGACGAAATGAAAAAACGCACTCACGGGCTAGTATAGTGTACGCCGGACAGGATGGAAACCTACATCGTCCACTTCGCGGAGCGTTATCGGTGATGAGACGACGAGTTATCACCACGGGAGAACGACGCTGACAACAACAACAACTATGACGATAATCGCGACAATATGAGGAGGGGAGCGAATAATATACTTTCCAAGTAATACAACAATAATAATAAAAATAATATTATTATTAACGTACGAAATATCGTCAGCGGCACAGCGAACAGTGCGCGTGTGCGTGTACAGCACTGACCGGAATGCACACTGAAAATGTAGTGCGAGTGTGCGACAAGAAGTGTACCGTTCCACACTACCGTTTGATTGATGACTGGGTGCGCCCGCCGTGGCCGCCGCCGACACCGCCCATTCAAATCGTATGGCCCGCGCCGTAACAGCAGCAACGGCGGCCCGGCCGATTGGGCACCACTGCACGACGCCGCCGGCGGCCGGTGGGTGGCAAAACCGTTCATTGTCGCCGAACACGACTTATTACGATATCACATTTGTGTCCGTTCAAATAATAACACATAATAATAACAACCATTGTCAGCCTGGTACTTGAAGGGCCCCGGATACATTCCTTCCGATGATCCCCTAAAAATGTTATCTCATAAAAATAAAATGATAAAAAAGTGTCTATAAAGAGTGAAAAATATTATAATTTTTTAATGGTGCCTTATTTAAAACACACAAACAATTAAATTAACTATACAGTTAACGTAATTATTTAAAATACTACAATTTTATATAAATATTATCTTATTATATACAACTTAATATTTTTTTTTAATGATACACAAATTATACAATACATTTTTTTATAACAGTATTTCTTTTAGTCTACCAAATGTCATAAGTAATTAGTACTGTAAAAAATTTAAATTGCAATCAGATCCGTTTTCAGGGTATGTGAGGCCCTAGCAGTGGCATATTTGAGGCAATCGCCCTCCCCCCCCCCCGAGAATTTTTAGACCGAGACAATTTTTATATAAGTAATGGGTATTTTATTAAGAAACAAAAATTATGATTTATTTTATTGTATTACTACATTTGAAAACGTTTTAAATTGTACACTAATTAAATAACGCAAAACGCTAAATTTTTCATAACGTTTTAATTGTCAATAACGGTAAACGGAAAATTTTTTAAATGTTTAAATTTGTATAACGTTTAAACGCTTAAATTGAATAACGTTTAAATTATTTATAGCGTTAAACGCTCAATTGCTTATAACGTTTATATGTCCCATAACGATAAATAATATATATTATTTTAATTGAAGACTCAATCTATACTTAATAAAAAATTAGATAAAATACAAGCGAAACTTTCAAAATACAGATAGGTGTTAAAAAAGAACTACACAAAAGACCATTCTATGTGGATTTGGCATGAGATAAAAAAAAAAAAAATTACAAATATTAAGGATTCACCTGGTATAAATATTACCAAAAAATTTACTTGTACATTTTGAGCCTGAATTATAGAAAAAATTTGAGTCGCCCCCCCACCCCCTCTAGAAGTAAGTCTAAATACGCCCTAGGGTCTAATATATATCGGGGGCCTTTGAATTCATAAATGTTGGTAGGTACGTATGTTATCTTAGCACATAAATTATTGTTATTAGCTACTAATATACTTAATTAGACAAATATTTATAATATATAATATTTGACAAATATATTATTTTTTATAAATTTGAGGTATTCCAAATCCCGAGTGCCTTGGCATGGGCTCTTTGGATCCATGCATTGATTCGGAATTGATTACAATGATTATTATGATAATTTATAAATCTTTAGAAATAGGAGCTCCTCGATACAATTTCATCCGGAGATCCCGGACGCGTTCGTAATCTAATAGTCAACATTGATAATAAATTTATTTTTATTGTACTAGAGTCGGAGATTAAGTGTCGATGCTCCGAAAAAACACTCTTGGCACGATGCCCTCAAGAAAAATATTTTTGAAAAACACCCTATAGGCATTTGAAAAAGATACCTTTTAGATTCAATGTCGCCTACAGGTTTTCCAAAAACTTGTTTAGCTATAAATACAATGACATATTATTATCCCCTATAATCTATTTAGATCTATATTATCACTGTCTATCCACACCCATCTCCTTAGAGGACCAGTGAACTGACAACCTATAGAAGCACCACTGTCTGAACTGATCAATAACAAATTTATATTTTTTTAAATGGACGTATTGAAAATAATTGAAACAAATGATTCACGAATCTTCATTGGGTTAAAGTCTGTAGTGCTCTACGAGGAATCTCAGGGTTTTTCTCGATGAGGAAAATATTTAAAAAAATTAATTTAAACTATAACGATTGATTCCAGCTCGCATGTAGAAAAACACCCGAAATAATGAATAAATTCAATAAAATGCGGAGATATTTGTCTGTAAAGATATTAATAAAAAAAAAAGTTGCATAATTCATTAACATCCACCAGTTATCGTAATAAAAACTACTGTATTTTGTAGTCATCGTATGTTCCTCAACGTGAAGGCATAAATATTATTATTTAATTCATTGTAATCGCATGGCCGACCGTTAAAAAAATTTTCACACAATTCGAATAACTGTGTTAATATATTCTAAATACCGCAATTCATGATAGCGTATAATTATCGCAATGGATTTAGCAACTTTTAGATGGTTGTTTTTTTTTTTTGTAAACCTTATAAGTTGTACGATTAATTTTCGATACTATCTGTTGTTTTTCAGATTTTCATGCATGCATGCGCGTTTATAGTCTAAAACGTGATGTGTAGCAGATACCTATCAATACTTTTAATACTTTTTTTTTTAGTTTTTCAAAACCACTCGCATTATATAAATATGGGGTCGGTGTAACGTAACTACGATGTAAAACGAATGCATGTGTATTTATATTATAGGCACCATATTTAGTACAATGTTTAAAAAAAAATGTTGGCAAAAAAAATCTTATGTATTATTTATGTACATATACATATAATATACTATATGATGTACATCATACAGTTAGATCAATATATACATTACATTATATACTGTTCAATGACAGTGGATTTTATTTCAAACTGGGCTTATTGTGTTTTTTAATTTAATTATCATTACTCTTTTCCTATAAATTGATATTTTTTTTTCCAATTGGCGGAATTTCAAGGTGATACAATATTACTATTGTGTTTACTATTGCAGTTGTTGTATGTTATATATTTATATATATATATATATATATTATTTACATCACATATTCCATTGTCCATTCCCAATAAAAATAGTATTTGCGATTATCTTCTGAATACTCAGTAAAGTTAATCTACACTCTTTCTAATTTTATATAGATACATATTATAAAATAATTATACATATTGGTTACAATAGTGAATAAACACTGTATAGTGTACACTGAGCCTGATGTTAAAGTGCCTTTATTTAAAATGTAGTAATTTATTGGTATATATACTGTTGAAATGAATTTTATAATTTTCTTATTTAATAAACATTTAAAAAAATGAATACAAAGTTAAAATACTTTTAGAAATGTTGATGGTTTAAATTATTGTTGTTAAACGATTTTTTAATTAGGCTAGATATATAAAAAGTAAGAACTCTAAAAAATCATAAACATGGTCAACATGTATAACATTTTAATTATACTAAATACGAGGGATGTGTAGTTCATGAGCTAGTCGACTCTAAAAATGAACTGGAAGAGTCGAATCAGTGTTACAAGAGTTGGCGAATCAGTGATTCACTGACTCAGTTAAACTCATAACTCACAACTGTACTACTGTAGACACACGGCTTTCGATTCTCAACTCTCAACTCGCTTGATAACGGTTTGCGAAAATGTTAAGTTTTTTGGAAAATGTAATACCAACTTAAACAATAGTTTCCCTCGGATTTGGTTATTAATATTTCCATTGTTTTTTAAAATATGATTTCCGACTTTCTTTAAAAATTTGTAACGCTTATAGTCATAATTAATTTCATATGCGATAAGCTAGTCACGAATATGGACTGTGAACTTGTGAGTTGAATCAAGAGTCGAGACTTGAAGAGTTGACTAGAGTAGTGATAATCTGATTCAAACAAAAAGTTGAAGAGTTGGGAGTCGACTCTTTGATTCAACTCATTACACTGAACTGAGTTGAAAGATTCAATTCAGCAGAATGAGTTGGAATTCCCATCCCTACTAAATACAAATTTTTGAAATGCATAAATTGTTAACGTTGTTTACGGTACTTACATTTTAGCTACAATACCATTAATATCTTCATAAGTAAACAATAGCAGTAGGTACCAATTATACACTCATATATTTACAAAGGAATATATATATATACTGGAAATTTTAGATTCCGTGTTGACGTCAGGTGTCCGAAGTTATTTGTTCTGCAGTTTGTATAATTTATTAGACAAGATGGTACATTAGCATAATGGAAATGTAAATAATTTGTATATTATTTCATGGATATTTTGATCACTTTTACTCAGTGACGTATTTATGGGGGGTATTTACAGGGGTACTGGACCCCCCCATAACCTCTCCAAAAAATAAAAAATAAACTAAAATTCTTACATATTTGCATATGGCTATGTTAAAGATTCACAGGGAAGTTGAAATTACTGTTGATGAAGTGATAAAGGAGTTGACCAAGAAATCAAGATAACTGGAATTTATTTTATAACAATACTTTATAATATATAATGCTAAATACAATATATAATATTACATAAGACTATACGATTATTACATTATATATTTAGTTCAACTTCTTCCAAAAACTACATAAGGTCGTAACTATTACAATATAATATATAGTTTATATTAACTATGTATAAACTGTGAACCCCCCAGAAAAAATTGAAAATACGCCACTGCTTTTACTGCCTTATTAAATACGTAAATAGAATTTATTATCTTAATTTTTTTTTTTTAAATAATAAACGCCAAAAATAATACTATAAAAGAAATAATGGATGAAGTTTAACACCAAAAATGACAAAAATCCATCTTATCTAAAATTTTCTGTTCGTAGTAATTATTAAACATGAAATATTTTTCACATCCATTAGAAAATGGTAAATAATGATTCGGATGATAAATGTTTATAATATTTAATTAATTTCTTACCGGAGTCCGTACTCATGTCAAATTTAATTAAATTGTCTGATTATACCTATTGTAAATCACAATGAACAATATTGGTTTTTTTTATGTTATTCGTGATAGGTACATTAATAAATAAATTATAAAATTATTTTTAATTTTTTAGTTTCGATTCTTTTATGCGAGGATTGTATTAAGAAGTTAAAAAAAAAATTAAAAAAATATATATTGTAATTGACATTTTATTTTATAAATGGGGTGGGGTTGATCAATTTGTTTCGTTTTAGAGTTCAAGCTTTACAGATCTGTATGTTTGCCAGGAAAAATAGAACTTTGTAGATGTAGATCAAGGGTTCCCAACCTTTTGAGGAAATGCTTCCTTTCATACTATTTTACACTGTCACGGTCCTCTTCCATAATAAGATTTAATTATGTTTATATAATATATCTTCTCTTCTTATATTCAACCCTATGGTTGGTTTCGCAGTCGTACACGTACCCTCCACTCTTCTCTGTTTACAACTAACCTCTTTAGTACTATTTAACTTGACAGTCCAGCATTGAAGATCATTTGCTTGACAAATGAAGCTCTTGATTGTCCTTGGTTTCTCTTACTTTCAATTTTTCCTTCTAATATTTTATAAACTAGCTTTAATATGTGACCAATCATGTTTATCGTTTTTGATGATTTTGAGTTCATTCTCTACGTTCGTTTAGTTCACTAATTGTGCTTCCGTTAATCCTATTCAAATTACTCGTAGCATTTTTCTCCAGCACCACATTTCAAAGCTTTCAAGGATTTTTTGTTTTGTCTTATTTAGTATCTATGTTACTAAATGTAACTGTATAGCTCCATATTTCATACTTATAATTTTATGAAGCGTTTCTTTATCCAAATACTCATACTATTGGTGTATAAATTTTTTTTTTTTATTCATGAAAACTGAATTTACCTGGGATCCTGGATCTTATTTTCATGATGTAGACGCCTCGGTTAATTGAGTTGCCTAAGTATTTAAAAAAATATTTCACTTTTCAAGCAGTTGATTTTCTGTTTGGTTATTAATTCATATAAATCGCCTTCATCGTGGTTATTGGATAGATATGATAATATGAAAATCAATGAAGTTATTTTGAATTTTCTTCTCCTTCGCTTTTCTCCTAACTATTTGAGATCAGCCACCCTTGTCCTAAACTTCCAATAGTCTTGATTTTATACATCCTCTACGCACAAACTCATATATTTCTTAATCGTATCCAACCATCTATTTTTTGGTTTTCTTCTTGCTCTTTTCCCTTCAACGTTCATTTTAATAATTACTCTTATTGCATTTGTTAATTTGTTAATGAACTTATTTTAAATATTTAATGAATTTATTTGTTAGAAAAAATTATTATTATAATTTAAAATTATCAAAACAAATTATATTACATTCACTTTCTTAAATATTAAATTTTACATTTATTAAATCGATACAAATTAATGAGGAGTTTGGTATTGCTTAGTTCCAATTAATTGTGACTTAATAATGTCTAGATCAAATATAAATAATTAAAAAAAAAAACGTTTTTGTGTTTTTTTATTTTTTAAAAATGTTCACGTCTCCCTAAGAGGGCGCGCCCCTAGGTTGAGAACCACTGATGTAGAACATGGTTAGGTACTTATAAATATACTATGACAGATCAGTCTATTTACATTATTATATGTATTCAATCAATGTATCACATACAGAATAGTCCTATCTCACAGCTATGTAAAATATAATATATGGTTATTATTTATAACCTATATAGAACTAATATAAATATTGGAAAATCCAAATAGTATTCCCAGGTACCACGCACTGTACTTGAAAACCTAAGTATTTTATGTGTAAAAAAATGTCTACCCCCACCCAAAAAAAAAAATCCCAATTACGCGAATAGCTAGTAGTTTGAGTAATATCCTTCCAAAATCAATGCAAAATTATTAGATAAATAATACCATGTTCCATGGTTATAATAATCAAAATGTTATCTATGACGTTTTAAAAACTGTAGCCTTCCATATTATAGTTATATTTCTGTCATTTAATGTTTAAATAAAACAGCTTTTATTTTTTTATTTCAGCATTGACTATACAAGCTGAAGTGTTTGGGTAGATTGGATATAAGATTGAAATAAATACATTGATGTTTATAAAGATAGATATTCTCTTTTAAAATATCATTTTTTATTACATTAAATGCAATACACATCTGTTTTTTATTAGTATACACTTCTTTCCATAACAGTAGTTAACAATGTACAAACATTAATTCCAGCCTTACCATACTTTTGGTTATGAAATTTATCACAAAATAATAATAATAATAAAAAAAAATTCAATATTCAATTATAATTGAATTATGATACTGGAACACATAAAAAATTATTAGACTCCATTTTCCCTCAAAAAATTCAGCAAAAGCATACCTAATCATCGAGCTCCTATAAATAGTTTGTGGGTTATTTTATGTACTTATTATATATTACATTCATTGTAAATTATAATATATAATAAGTAAATTGTATTTATACACAAAAATCTTATAAAACGATTATCACTTTTTTTTTTTAAGAAGTTAAATTTTTACATACAACAAAAACGAGTCATTGAAATTTAAAAATATGAAAATTTACCATAACAATATTTGTATATCTATAGATACTGATGTATTAAAATTTAAATTTGATATTGATATCTTGAGAGCTAAATAATACAATTTTTAATAAATATAATAAAAATAATAATAATAATAATAATAATAATGATATTAATAAAAATAATAATAATAATAATAATAATAATGTAAAAAAGCAAAATAAATGTACATTTTACAACAAAATAATCATATAAAAGACAGGATAGAGTGTAGGATTTTTGCTCACGCAGAAGTACATATTATACATGTATATATAAAAACTTTTAATGTGCAGGGTTTCAATCTGTACATGAAATAATATTTTACACCATAAAACAAATTAAAATTTTTTCAAAATGAAGTATAAAATATTTCGGTGATAAACTTCTATTTTGTTGGTTTTTTTTTTATTTATTCGTTGAAAAAATGTATTTATTATTATTATTAAAACTGTTTTAGCTTTTTAATATTTAATTTTAAACTTGGCAGATGTTAACAGCCTAATACACACATTGTTATTTAATATATTGTGTACAGAAAAAAACCTTGATCTGTTGTGCTACTTGATAAATACATGATTGTAAAAGGGGTAAAGTAAAATATACTATAAATTGTAATAAGATGATCATTTGATAATATTCAATATTTCAATTCTGATTTTGTAACAATTATATTGTAGATTAATATTGTTCCATAATTCTAGTATGTTCACATGTTAGTGCATATCTGTTGATGATTCAACAATTTGAGTGCTCACCAATTCGACATTAATGCTTTCACCATTATCAAAATCATCAACACTGTTGAATTCAATAGGAACGGGTGCATCATAATCATCATCATTCCTAAATTTTTAGTATATTAATATATCATTTAGTTAGTTTTACTATGAAAAAATAATTATCATACTCGGGTACAATGTCTGGTACAACTTGTAAAGGTTCAGTTACCAGAGTTGTCAATGTATCAGCAGCATGTGGCATTTCTACTTCGTCACCATCATCAGAAGAGTCTTCTATTCCCTGTGTTGTCAATGTTGTAGGAGCCAAAAAATCCTTTTAACACAAAATTTTATTATTTAGTTTAAAATGCTGTAAAATAGGAAGGTATCATAATAATAATAATGATAATGAAAGATAATTCAATATAAAATTAAAAATAAAAATATAATACTTTACCTCAGATGGACAAAATTCGTACGCTTTTTGAAGGACTTTACGAGCACTAGTTGACCTTTCCAAAAAGAAGCTATTGGTATTTTCATTAGACTGGGGTGTCCAGCTATTATATGTATTGTACTGGCTTCCAGTCAGTGTTTTCTATAATAAGAAAATAATTTTATTAAACAAAAGCTATTAAAAATCAATTCAAATGGTAATAATACTCTATTAAGTTCTTCTTGTAACCAATCAACAGCATCCATCCATTTTCTTTTGAGATCAATGTGTTGTAAAACAACTTTGTGGGCCATTGGTATCCTCATAAATAAACCAACTAAGCCTTTTATACATTGATACGATCTTCTTTGATATTGATTTTTGTGACGCAATATTGTGTCAAGTACACCTTCTCTATCTTCTGAAGTAAATTCGTTATTAAAGTACAGTTTAAAATATAAATTAACTTCATTGTACATACCATTTCCAGTCATGGCATTTTGAATACGCAATACTTGCCATGAATCTTCAATACTTAATATAACAAATAGTAAATCCAAATAAAATTTAAGTTCTTGACAGTAAGTATACATAATATGCCATAAAATTTCAGTCAGAACCATACTACTACTCTGTGGATTCTCCCAACACACAAATTGCAGCATTTTCATACTTTCTTCATTCATTTGAGAATTGTCAATAAGTTTTTTCAAATAACTAAAAAAATATAAATTTATTCAATGATTAAATTTATTAAATTTGTATATATTTTGAAATACATACCAAATTCGACCAAATAGACAATCTCTAACTTGCTGAGGAACTTTTCTTAGGTATGGTTGACATTCTGCAAATGGATTTGGTAGGAAAGGAGTACCCTATATAAATTTAAAGATTATAATATTAATTATTAATTTAAGTATATAATGATAATCAAATTAAAGCCATGATAAAAAAGCTTATAAATTATAGATTTAAGGTTATATTAAAAACAATTTTAAAAAGTGTAATATAAATATAAGTTTATAGCTTCAATAAATATATAAGTTTTGTCATTGTAATAAAAAATAATAATAATAATTAAAATAAGAAAATAGTAAGTTATTGGTTATATTGTATGTGATATTAAAAATACTTGGATGATTTGTAAAATAATTATTAAAATAAATGTTTATCACTAAAAATAATTAATACATAAAAAAAAAAAAAAAATTAAATAGCTACTAAATAATAATATTATGTACAGTATGACATTATGACAGTATATAAATATTTTGTACTATATAATGATCAAGTACACAAGAATTATTTAGTAATGAGTAATAACAAAATTGTAATGTTAGATATAAAGTACTAGTACTATAACAAAAAATAAAATATACTTTATTCATACAAACATTTGAATATAAGGAATATATAAATAAGAAGTTTGTCAGTTTATATTCAGAGTTTTCAGTTTAAAGTTATTAAGAAATGCAAAAATAGTATGACACATATATAATTTGCAAACTTACAGGAGCAGATGATACACATTTTTCTGTACAATCACAACATCGGACTAATATTGATATCACAGAGTGTAGTTTGTTGATTTCATTAGGTTGATATTTTATATTAGACCCACCTGGGCCCTCATCAATAGCTACTAAAATAAATATTGCAGCAACATTTAACTGCAATAAAAATTTAAAACACAAATGAGTAAAATAATTAACAATTACTTTTGAACACATGAAATATTACACACCTTTAGAAGTTGTTGTTTTTCTGCCATTCCTAGATTACAATACATGTAGAAAAAGGAGAAATAATGTGGTAAATGTCTATTAGTGTGTTCGCCAACTTCTTTTTGTAACAAACTCAATACAGCAATAATTAAGTGATCACTTAATGAAGCTGTAGTGTCCAATAAAGAATCTAATAATTTTAAATAAATAAAATATTTAGGTATTTAAGAGATTATAGTTATCAAACATTTTTATAAAAATATATTACTAGATGTAATAGCAGGAATAAGAATTGCATCATCTTGTAATGAATAATGAGCTAAGTATGCAATAAGCTTAATGAAAAATGATCGTACTTCAGAACTCATACATTGCAACAAATATTCAACAAATCTAAAAGTTTATAAATAAAAATATAAGTGATGTGTAAAATTTAAAAATAAATTGTTATACCTTTGAGGATAATTAAATAATATATTTCTAGCAAACCAAGCACGAACAGATGCGTAGGTACGAATATGTGGTGCTAATAAATCATACCACTCCATTGCATTTCCTCTCAAAGATTTCTTAGTATGCAGACCAACATAAAATATAAATTTGCTCACTAATTGAGTAGATAATAATGATAATTCTTCTTGATCAGTAGCCTAAAAAATATAGTTTTATACAAACATTTAAAATATAATTTTGGCATATAAATATAATATTATTACATACATTTTGAGATGATTGTAATTCATTGGATGAAACCATGTTTGGCGAGTTAATTGTAGCAATGTTACGAATGAATTTAAAATACTCTTCTGTATATTGACTGCGAGTATGTAAAAATCTTATATTTTGTTGTTGAACACTACGTTTTATACATGAGGGCATTTTGATACTGGTGTTACTAGTGCGTCTATCACCTAAATAACAATAATTATTATTATATTTTATTATTTTATAATTTATTTTAAATATTTAAAGCATAATTAAGTAATTAAGATTATCTTATTTTGATGTGGCACGGTTAATTTTCTTGTTATAAATTATTCTAATTTGGTAAAGAAAATTTTAAATATTTGTAGTAAAATAAAATAAATGTATTTAAACAAAAGAGTTTTAATTTTTATACAAGATACCTAAAATATTTTCAACAATAGTTTTGTTTCTTGATATTTCAAGACATTTTGAATTAATTAAATTTACTTAATTTTAAAACTTACCCATACTAAGCTTTCTCATTCCATTGACTAGTAATTCTTTGTTAGAATCGATTTTAGTGTAAAATAACATATAAGCATTCCACCACCTTTTTTGTCTTCGGTAACTAGTTCTTTTTAATGCGTGATCAAAAACCTAATTAACAAAAATGGTTTGATTTATTTAATAAATAAAATAAAATTAATAATAAAAACAATTTACTTCGCCCATATAATCTCCACCAAAACATTGGGTTTTCATCTCTTCATCTTCATCCATTTTACACTCAGTTACATCTCCATCATCAAACTTGTACCATTTAGATGAACCTTCAGGACTTCTAGAATAAAATTATTATGGTTTAAATTTTAAAAAAACTGCATTAAATGAACAACAGAACTAGTATAAACATAATATTTTGAAGTTATTGAAAAGCAGTTACAATACAGGTTATGAAAAATTTTAAATTATTATTTTATATGAAAATTATTATATTGGTATTGATGATGTCCACTACTTGAAGTAATTTAAGTAATTTGAATATTATATTATGGAATTTTCAAGATATGGGTCTATGGCCGATTAAAAAAAAACATTGAAGATGTTATGTGACACTTAAAATCTATAGAATATAATTTACTATAATAGTACAATATCACAGATATATATATATTATGATGAAAACTATACACATTTTATAGAATATATTTTAAGCCAATAATTTTTTAATACTACATGTATAATTTTTACCGTATATTGGTTTAATAAAATATTTAGCACAAAAATATAGTACAAACCAGGATAATATATAATCTGTTATTAATTAACATAAATCAAATAACATATTGTACATCAAAACAGTATATAGGAAATGTATGCATATTTTAACATAAAAGTAAGTAAGATAAATCTGGGCACCTGTCTTGAATGTAAGAATAGTAATGACCTCCACTAGCTTGACCGCTATGGACAACTATACCAGTCAATTGGTACTTGGTATGATTTTCGTCTTGTGCCTTATCATAATCGCAATCAATTATTTCACCTTCAATTTTGGCTAAACCTGAAACTATAATAATAAAACAAAAATAGAATTAATTTAAGTATAAAAAATGTAATTAATTTTAGTATGAATACCTGTATATGGTTCCATGTCTAAGTGTCGAGGAAATTCAAAATAATCATTAAATTTTATGGCACATACTCTTTCAAAATCGTACTCAAATCTTTTAAGTTGAATAGCTAAAATAGGTGGTAACTTTTTAACACATAATCTTTTAACAGTAACAACCTGTAAAATTATAATAAATTATAAAAAAATAGATTTTTACAATAATTTGACTTAACCTTTTTATTGCATTTATCACAGTGATAAGCATCAGCTCCTTCTAATAGTTCTCCTTTTACATATTGTTCTAGGGAATCAGTCAAATTTGAATGATTTCTTATATCTACACTGATGACACTAAATGGTTCTTCTTTGGAATATCTAAAAATAAAATAATTATCAATATAACATTTGATGCAGTATAACATTTAAAAATTTAAACTTACCTATGTGGACAACCTTGACATATTTTTTGATCCGAATAAGAGCCTCCAAGATTTTTACTCATTATCTGATCTTGAGATAATACTTTTAGAGCTTCATCTAGACTTTCAACAAGACTCATAAAAAATTCAACAGCATCTTGTTGTTCTCGAAGGTTTACTGGTTCACCTTGTAATCTACATAAGGGATAAATATTCATATTTTCTGATATAAATTTATTATATCATTAGTTATTATTACTTGAAATGTTTCCACAACCCTCTTGGTACATAATATTGGACTTTACTAAACGCCAAGTGTCCAAATATAGCTTGTACTTGTTTCAATATTCCAACATTATATTCTTTTCTAGATTGTTCAAATTTATTACGATCTTCAGTAACATCCATTTGAGTCTGATTAAAATAAAACCATTAGTACACTTAAAATTAAATTATTAAATAGGAAACAAAAAATTAGAACTAAAGATTAAAATAAGTACCTCATTGTCATTTCTATCATCACCATTAAAATCATCATTACTATCTATGGCTGCACCATGTGCTGATAGTATACCTACTCGTATAGGATGTACCATATACAACTGTTGCAAAACAGAATTCATGTAACAAGTAGCACCAGCATTTTTAAGACCAACAAAACCACGAGCAGTTCTTGCACCCATCATTGGCAGAAAGTCCCACTCAATTAAAGGATCTTCACGTTCTATAGAAATATTAATTAATATGTATTCTTTATTAGTTAAAATATTTTTTTATAGAAATAGAATTACCTGAATAAAAGTATTGAGTGAGAATTTCAACAGTCAATTTTAAATTTCCTATACAACCAATGCAGAGAGATGTAATAAGATCAAATGCAGCATTTGTAGAACTTGGAGATTTACAAACTGGTGTAACTTCAATATCTACAAATTCTATAGATTGAGTCAAATCTTCCATTAATTTAGAAGCAGGAAAAATAAAATCTTCAAGCAATTCTTTGATCAACATTATGCCAGCAGTTTCATTGGAACCAATTTCCTCACGCTTTTCTATGCTAATCATTTGAACTAACTCTTTGGTTATATTTAAGTGACCTTCAAGAATTACTTCTTCTACTCCTGAGTCACCATCAGTTTTTACTTTCTCTCTAATATCTTTTAACCATTTAATCTCATTATTTAATAATATTTTAAAATCTGGCACAGGAATTCTTTCGTGACTAGCGTAATTTAACAGATAAGTTAGAACCTTAAAAGAAAAATAGGGAACAATATTTAAAGATAAAAATAAATATTAGGTTAACTTATATTGTAGCAACTTACATGAAAGTACTCATACGAGTTTTGAGCAAATTTTAATACAGTTTCATCAAGTACAGAAAACATTAAAGAAAGAGTAGATAATAATGGTTCAGCACTCCAACTAAACTTAATTATTAATATAAACTGTTCAGCAGCAGAACAACGAACTTGCCTGGAGAAAAAAAGAAAAGAGATGCATTAAATTACATAGAAATTTATATAATTTAAGGAACAATATGATTTAATTTAATGGATGTAATAACTTTTAAAGTATTCTAAAATAAAATATTTGAACAATACCTATTATTGGCTAATAAAATTAAATCAATAAAGAATGTTTGCCAATCTTTTTTCTCCATTAATTGACTTAGATAATTAGGCTTCAAAAATAGACAAAGAGTTAATACTTCCAATGCTTCTTTACAAACTGAAATTTTAATACATTTATTTATTACAAAATCTAAAAAAATGTAAAAATTTATATATTTAAATTCATACCACACATATCTTCCATTTCCAATGCTTTCCCATTTAAATTATTATGTAAATCTGTATTGTTTAATTGACCATCAAATTTATGTTGATTTGCTCCAGCCATTGCCCAAGCTAATTGTATGGTAGTCCAAATCATATCCAAAGTTGGCATAAATTTTGATAAGGACTTATTAATAGTCACTTGCAATGATTCCAGGGTTTCACAACCAATGGCAATTTTATCAATGTACCTTCGTGCTAGTTTAGAAGTAACATTCCGCAACATATACTCTAAGTTGGGATTAGGCACTACGCCAAATGCTTCTTTCATTAAAGTCAAAGTATCATCGCCTTGATCAAGAACTTCTATTCCTTTATACAAACAGCGTTCATTATCAGTTGATGTACCCATAATTAATTCAGGGGATTGACATAACTGCGTTATAATTTGTCCCATTACACATAAAACAAGTCTACAGATTTTAAGCACTACTAAATATATGGACCTAAAAAATTGATTACATATGATTTTAAAAAATAATTTAAATTCAATAATTTTTAATTTTTCATAAGAACTTATTGATTTTACCTTTTAGTATTTTGATCATTTGCTAAAATGAATTTATTTGACACAAGCATTTGAATAATTTCAGGAGCATGATTACTAGTTATAAAATTAGTTTGAAATTCTAAAGTTTTGTCAGCCATGGGATCAATAGCAGGTAATAACATTGAATATAAAACCTAAAAATATAAATATTCAATTTACTTAAAATTGATCATAATTTAGATTTTAAAGCTTACCTCTAAATTGTATAAATTTTGAGATGGGGAATTAGTAAAATATATGCTATCAACTGGTACATTGGTACCATTCCCTTCAGATTCTGACTGGAAAGTAAAAAATTTCTAAAAATAAAAAAAAAGACATATCATAAAAATGTATGACCAATTTTAAATATTGATTATGAATAAATTATTTAAATAAAGTATATTATAAAACTTATCAGTTTAAGTTTAATAGTGGTATAAAACATTAACTATACAAAGTTAAGTGCTATTACTATAATGAAAATTGTTCAGTTTATCTATTATTAATATAGTAGATTAACTTATTATTATAACTTTTAGTACCGGGTTTTCAATCATCCAGATATTTGTCAAATAACTGTTAAATAAACTTCCAAATAAAACAAAACAAATTTTTTTCCAATAGTTACTTGGAGAATAAAATGAATCGGTAGATGATAATAATATGTGTTAGGATTGTGCATGGTAGAACAAGTTGAAGTTTTGCTCCTTTGTACAATTGGTTAAAATTGGTACAAAATTAATGATTTATAATTGTTGTTAACTAATAAAAATAAATAAAAAAAGGAATCGAACCAAACTAATACTTGAGCTTAACATATACTTGAATTAAAATTATTAATATACAAACAAATGCATTCTTAAGTACATTTATGGGAATGAAGAGAACACTAAATATTTTTCCTTTTATCGTAAAATTGAAATATATTAATTTTATAAATTATGTTATATAGTGGCTAAAACATAGCTTACAATATTTTTCAAAAATATTTTATGTTTTATAAAACTAAGAATAGAAATATGTAAACAATAATATATGATAATACAAAAAGTAATTTGATATCTTGGTGTACATTTATATGGCTTCCATACATTAAAAGCATTAAAAATAAGATTAATGGGAAGCCTCAGAAATATTTATTTTTTATATTTTTATTTTAAGTTAATATTAACTAATCCTCAGAAATGTATATCCCCAACTTAAACAGGTAGAACTTATTAAAAAGAGCTAGATACTAAAAACATTTAAAGTTATTAATTTTAACAAATTGTGAAATATGAAATTATAAGTTACTTTAATATACATATTTGTTATAGTATACCATCTAGGAAACAAATTAAATTGAAATTAGAGTTTAAATGTTTTAATTAAAAATAATGATTTTCTTTCATTAAGTTATGATTTGGGAAATTTTATGATGTGAAATTATTTTATTATTTGAAAACTTCTGTTTATTTGAGCAAAAAAATATTATATAATTTATTTTATTTTTCTTCATATATTTAAAAAAAGAAGATAATTAAATCCCTTTTTAATACCTAAACAAGCCATGTAAAAAAAAAAAAAAATAAATAAAAATATATAAATAATTTACAATTTTAATTTGAGCTATTATAAATGTATCTCATGCTTAATTAGCATAAAATACAATATCTAAAATAATATAGTAAAAAATTAATAAAATTGTATGAATAGTCATATTAGTATAGGTTTTTATTGAATAAAAATATAAAATTAGAGTACCTTGATTTTTTTCACAGTAGATTCAGCAGGGGGGATTAATTTTAAAATACATCTGGCTGCTTCTCGAAGTTGTTGGTTTTCAATTTCAATACCCTTATCTGATACTTGTAGAAAAAAATTAACATATTTTGGATTTTCAGAAATTATCTGTAAATTGATTCTTAGTTAATGTCATTAAAATTAAGGTAGACATTGATAATAAATACCACAGTAGGTAAACAGTTTTCTGCGTCCATATTTAAACTATAATCATAGAAAGGTTGGTTATTGGTGATAGAGCTATCTGAACTACTATCTGGTGAACTGGCTAAATTTGTATTAGCAGTCATTAGTCGAGCATTAAGATACTAAAAACAAATTTTCAATATGTATAAAATAAAAATATTTAATTGAAACTTAAGTAATATTACCAATTTATCTCTGAAAGGGAGTTCACCAAGAAGTTTGTTGTCATCCAATGTACTTATAAGGTCAATACTACTACCAGGGAAAATATCTAATTTGATATTTAGCGTTCCAGTAATGGCTGTAATTGTTCCACTATTTCGTAATCTTTTTAACAATTGTCGCCGTACACATGATATATTATCATTACTATGCATAACAAGCTCATGATCATCTACTAAAGAACGATTGGCATTAGTTAGACGGACAATCACAGTAATATGTTTTCCCCTACAAGCTCTGTAGTTAAAAAAATATATGTATTAGATTTTTTAAATAAAATATTTGTATAAATAACAAAATATATATATACCTATGCAAAGGTAATAAAGAACGATCCCCATTAAATGATGCGTCACATTCTCCTAAATATTCATACAACACTTTCATAACCCTGATCATTTTAGTAACTTCAATATTTCTTTCAATGACATCATCTTTAGTCATTGATACTTTAGAAAGAATGCTAACAGTATCAAAATGGGCACGTAATCTTTCTAAACATTCAGCAACAAATGTTTGGTGAAATTCAAGAGGATTAGCTTGCAGCCTAGGAGCAAGATTTGTGTTAACTTCTTTAAGTAAATCTATTGCATGTGCTGCTATATCTTCACTGCAATTAGTTACAACTTTCCATAAATAATCTACACCAATTAAATCTATATTTTCCATTTGATAACAACGTCTTTTTTTAATTAATTTTCCTTCCTTAACATTGACTGCTTTGAAAAACCGCTCAAAACATCTAAACATTTTTAAATAAAAAAATATATTATTTTATAAGGGTATAAGGTGTTTATAAAAATTTAACTTAAAAAATATTAGGTATTAATTACAGTTTTTAACTCTAAGATGAGAATATTTTTAATTACTGATATAAATTTAGATTGACAAATTGATATCTTTGAATTTAAATTGAAAACATTTTAGCTTAACTATATTGAAATATAAATAACCAGTAATTAATAATTAAGAAAATACTATATAAATAAAAAAATACTTGAATATATCTTTGATTATAAATAGAAAAAAAAAAAAAAACAGCACAATTATAAATTAAATAATAATTGATAGTTACTTTATTCCATTTTCAGTAAGTAAAGTTGGATCAAGCTGCAGCAGGTTGTTAATAAAAAATTTAGTATTAATTGCAGGGTCAATATCTTGTTCTTCACCCATTAATTTTGAAAACCATCGAAAACCAGCCTCACGATCAGCCAAGAATGCTGCTTTTTCAGCCAGTGATACCCAAATTTGATGTGCTTGATCAGCACACAGCCAAAGATTGCCGTCCTATGATAAAGATTAAAAAATTATCACAATTAAAATGTCCTCTGTACACTTAAAACATACCTTCAAACAAAATTTCAAGAAGTATAATCTTTCTTGAACTTGTTGTAAATGACAATAACGGCCATCAGGATAATATTTAGCAGGATCTGTATTTGGATTTACTAAAAAAAATTTGATTATAAAATTGAATAATTAATGAACATTCAAAAAAATATATTTACCTTGTACAAATTTTCTTACTTCATCCATATACTTTGATAAATTATCAGTGACTAAAGATACTAAAGTATGTTGATTTTGTAGACGTGTAACAATTTCTTGTCTGAAAAAATTATATAATTTTTTCAAATTTGGCAGAACCATGTCTTCAAAAGTATAATGTTTAGTAACATTAAATATTTCAAGTCAGGACAGAATAGACAAAATATATTCTACATTTAGTAGTGACGGGTCAAATGTTGAACCGAACAAAACTCAAAATGAAAGAAAATTGAATCAAACTATTTACCATTAAAGTATGTTAGAAAATTTGAACTTGAAAATATTCTTTATCAATATAAAATTAATTTTCTATACTTTATAGTTTATAATAAGTATCATAGTAGTATTAACTCTTAAGCAGGCGCATGCCTATTAACGTTCAGTCGCATAGGGTCTATCAGACGCCATTTCTAAAAATGTGTAAAATATGTAAAAAAAGTCAATTTTTTTAAACTTAAAAACATAATGGGTTACCATGATATATGAATATGGATAAAAATGTAATAATACAAATTCAAATAAAAATAAATACAAAACTATGTGCATTACTAAAAATTATATTATCTTAATATAATACATTTTATTTTGTGGCGGTGTGCTAGACCTTCACACGCCTACTTAAAGGTTTACTATTTTATTTATTTATATTATTACGATTAGGTATGATAAACTAATTCAATGTTGAAACCTGTGATTATTTTTGTAAATATCTATAGGTTATATTATTACAGATTATTTTTTATATGATGTGTGATGATATGATCAAACTTACAAATCTATTTTTGGAAAAGTGAAAAGAAAAAATATAAATGATGTTTGTACTTTAGATTCTTAAAAAAATTATCAGAAATATAGTATTGGTTATTAATAAATAAATATTATAATTTATTATATATTTTAAGGAGTATTACATTTTGCACAATGTAAGTCAAATTCCCATAATTTTAATATATTCATATTTATAAAAGGAAAATAATGATGAGTTTGATAACATTTCAGTTCAGGTTCAGAATACTTTTACAAAGTTCAGTTCGGTGTTGAACCAAACACCGAAAAATCAAATTCCATACCTACCATAACCCATCACTAATTTTTAGGTTAGAATTAAAAATGTAATATTTAACTAATCTAACAAATTTTCAAAAGAAATTTTTTTTTACAACATTTTAACTCATTAAAACTTATTTTTGCCTAAAATTTTTTATTTTGAGTGCTTAACTAAAAATATCCTTTAACTTGTTGGAAAATCCATGTAGGATAGATAATAGTAAATTAAATTACATTTTATACATTTATAAAAATATATTATTAAGTAAAATGGTTTAGCTAATAAAATAAATTTAAAATTTAGTCAACATTTGAGAAAATACTAAATAATTAATAGTTGATAAAATAAAATTTTGATTTTTACAGCTAATAATTATAAATTACATGCAATAATAGAGAAAACTTCATATTTTTAGTATATAGGTAACTTACCGATACACAGTGTGAGTATGAGATGGATGAGCACCAACCGGAGTAGGATCATATAACATACATATATCTCTCATATGTTTTAAGACTGGAAGTACCCACGAACTATTATTTTGAAGTTCATCAACACATTTATCAAGCCAAGCTGTTTTTTGAGCATCACGGTCCTAATTAATATATAAATTTTTTTTAAATCATTAAATAAATTTATAAAAAAGTATTTTTACTTGTGCACAGCTATAATCCAAAATTTTAACATGAGCAGATAATGCTTGATCTATTATCTCAGTAGAGACATCTTCTCCATGAGCCAAATTCCAAAATAACATTAACACCTAGATTAATCAATGTAGTTATTTACAACCAATACTCAAATGGTAAATTAAGAAGTTACTTTATGAGCCATAACACCATCTTTATCATCTTCAGCTAATCGTCTTATTAGTTCTAACAATTTTTCTCTTTGTTTCTTATTAGCATTAGTCCAATTGGCCTAAAAAAATTAGATTAATATAGCATCAGCTTTATAATAAATTACATTAATATTTATTATTACATGAAAACATTCAAATAGGTGGTCTAATTGTTCTGGGGAGAAATCCCAGGCAAGCTTTGCTAATAAGTCGTGAACATTTTTCACAATTGCATCATGTTTACCAGCTTGAGCAGCCCATAATGCATCTAAATCACTCAATGACAAGGCCTGTTCTTTAATCACAAAACGAATTATTTTTTCTAGTTTCTCTACATATTGAGGTTGATGGAGGGAATCCCGAAGAACTATTTCTAATACATTATTTTCTTTAATCCATTTCTGTAAAATAATGATAATGTTTACAGTTAATAAAACCATAATGAATTACAAAAAAAGATAAAATAATAAGTTTAAGTAACTCACAGCCATTCTTTCTGGAGTTAAATACTCTTCATCGTGATCAATATGCCTATGAGGAGTATATGTAACATTGGAAATCACTTTATTAACTTCATTTAAAGCATTCATTTTTCCATTGAAAGATGATATTTGTAATAATCTATTAATAAAAATAAATATAAAACCATTTTATATATAAAAAACAATGATAAATCTAATATAAGAATAAATTACCTAAGTAACATCTTAAGTCTAAAAATTTCTAATTGTTTAATTAATTCTTCCTGTTTTGGTACTTTCATAGCAAGTTGTTTGCAAGCTTTAATTATTGAAGATATAGCATCATTTTTCCCTTCATTTTTTGTTTCTTTTTTTAATTCATCATCAGTTAATACATCTAAAATACTAGGTATTTTTTCCTAATAGTCCATAAAAATAATTTTAATCATTAAATCATATTATTAAATATATTTAGAAAACATTCATACCACAATTGGCATCAAATATTTTTGAATTGTAGATTCAGTCAAAAGTTCAGAACAGCTACCAAAAGGCCTGATTAGTCCAGAAATGATTGGAACAGTAAGAACTTTATTTGATTGAAATCTATCAGATAATTTTTGAAAACCACCTAGGAGTCCAAATCTAAAATTGATTAAGGAAAATAATTAACATAGGAATTCAAATTATTTATATTTCACATGCTACATACTTATTTAACAGATCAACAAGCCATCCCCTAGGAGCCCTTGAATCTGGCGGTGTTCTTGCAAATAAATCAAACATTTCTGATGACATATAATCAGATTGTTTCGCACAATTGAACAAATGAAATCTAAAAATTAATAAGGGTTTATAAAATTTAAAATAATAATAGTTAAGAATAAAGTATTTACTTATTTAAAGGATTAAACAACATCCCAAGCATTTCTATAAATGGAAAGTTGTCATCGTCAAGTTTGAGCACCAACAGTTCTACTAGTTTCATACAATTATTCATAATATATTGTTGAATGTTAACTTTCCAGCTGTTTACAGCATCATCTGTTAATATTCGTGTAAAGGACAAAATCATAGCGTCACGGAAAAATTTCTGGCATCCTTCATTATTAACATCCAATCCTTTTTTGCACAATGCTATAGAAATATTTAATAGTGAAACTAGTTCTTGATCAGGTAATACTGGTACAATCCATCGTTGGCTATGAATTTTTTCTTCCAGATTAACTAGTTTAATAATGGGGAACACTAATTCTTCTTCTTCTTCATCTTCTTCTTTAGGTGTATTATCTTCTATGTTTTCCATATCAGATTTGATACTTTCATCTGTTGTTTCATTGTCCGTCTGTTCAGGCATATGATGTGATTCGACAGCTTGTGGCTGTAAAATGTTAATGTTGGACAAAACACTGTGGATTTGTGTATTTTGTTGAGATACATTCTACAAAAATGAAAATAAGATATAATATACAAAATATGTAAAAAGATAAAGAAAAGCGAGCTCACTTGAACATTTGTTTGATTATCGGCCGAATCTAATCCGACGGTTTGTCCACGAGTCGCAATAGTCATCCTGAAACATAAATGTATTGTTTTTTTTTTTTATATTGTATCACTGGACGATGCAATGGGTCGCTCTTTCATTGGCCATGCGAGGAATAGATTCAGAAAATCAAGAATTGTATAATTTAAATAGTGTTTTGTGAAATTCGATTAGCAAAGATTGAGCGCCAAGGCTCTACGTCGAAAATAAGATGAATTCCCGGGGGTGCAGATTAGGAGACACAAATTGAACGACAGCGATTTGACAGTGACAAGCCTAATAGTGTGCCATTATCGTCCGTCATCGATCCGGGCACCGAGACAGACAAGTTATACTCACGGGATGTTGTTGATATTCTAAGTCTGTCGACTATACATGCACAACCGGCGTGCGATGTTTACGTGCCGTTTGAGAGGCAGAAGCTGACGCGCCGGTGCGACGACGGCTGGTCTGCTGTGCGACGAACTAGCCTAAGCAGTAATCGTGACAGCGGTGACGACGGCGACAATAAAAATAACATTGACGCCGAGCACTTTCGGTCGGGTAAAACGTTCTAGCGTCGTCCGGTCAATGCGATTAATCATACGACGAGCGTCCGGTCGAAAACTACATGCGGAGTGCCCTACTGCGTTCAGTAATCAAATATAGCGGGTCGAACGCGAGAGAATCGGTGACTTCGATTTAAATTTATTTGTAATGTACACTTATTAATAGTTATAACTTCAATAATATTTTTGATATACAAAAATATACATGTATAGTATATCACGTATAATATTTAGCGAGCCAATTTCGATATGAAATAACAATTATTGTATCTTGGATAGAGCGAGGGAGTGAGAAGGATAGGGTCGAGTAAGAGGGACACGGTTGGCGCGAGAGGGGAGGCGCGCGAGCGAGAGAACCGAGCGAACAGAAGATAGAAAATCAAACACAAAAACAACTTCGCCGCACAGCTGATGTGGCCCAAAGACCTTGCAGAAAACAGTGATAAAAAAAACCCATATGCACCGTAGCTCGAATCGTGTGTTTACTATTCTGCTTGACATTTATGTAAACCGCACGTAAATAAAGTATTTATCATATTGTTGTTGCCGTTCAGGCCTACATTCCCCGTTGTTATGCGCTGGTTAAAATTTCTATAATCGAATAAGTGATGACGTTACTTAGATAATAATAACGCCGAAAACAAAACAGATTACCCAATAAAAGAGCGAAAGGTAAACAGAGTGTAATTATTGTAAATGTTGCCGGCAACGGGTTAACGTTAAGCGGTGTAGTGACAGTGGATGAAACCGCTCCGGGCCGCTCGAAGAAGCAAAGACAGTGTAAATTTGCACTCGTCGTGATTAGATAAGGGCGACGATTTTTGTCATCGTCTATCCTACGTGCATTTTGCGAGCGAACAGCCTGAAAAGCATTTCGTACGGTTAAACGCGATACTTTGTCGTACAATTCTAAACTTTTACTGTTATTGCCATGATTTATTGGTATACTGTAATAACAGTGCAATAATTTATGCGTCCTTTTTCTTTTTTTTTCCGTCCTCGCATTATAATATAATAGTGGGGTCGTTTAGCTGATAAAGAAAGTACGATACGATATTCAAAATAAACACAGCCAGTGTCCAGAACTCGATTCTAATCATTATAGAAGCTGATTACGCGTTGTCACATAGCTACGTGACGGATTTTTCCAGACTACTAAGACGACAAACGAGTAAGTGTGATTAGTATTTTAGATTATTTGGTTTCAAAGTTTTCTTTTACGTCACAATTATATTGCCTATTCGGTTTTCTATTTTTTATTATTACGAATAAGTTTACTGGTAGGCTTTCATATCTTCAGTAGGATTCTTCATAACTATGGTGAATTGGTATGTTACATTCTTTAATTGTACAAATTGGTGTTTTGGTGTTTAATTTCGATACAAGGTGTAATTTATAATCTCAAAATTCCATTGTACAATTTTAATTTAACATGTTGACCTGCCTTATAAGTGTGATTGATTTTGACATATGTTAGAATAATGCTGATTCACATTACGATTAGTATTAATATTACTTTATTTAAGATGTGAAATGCAATGGCACATAATGTCCCATGCATTTATTATACAATAATATAATTACAGATTGCACAAAAATAAAAATTAAAAAAAGTTAATGATAATAAAAGAAAAAATTATTAAATTAGAACAAATTATTTAGTTTACCTTTTTTTGTTGTAATTTTAATATATTTCTCACATTTTTGTTAAAAAATTGTGTTCATAAACAAAAATTATTCCATAATTTTAACTTAAACTGTTTTTATAAAATAAAATGAATATTGCTTATAAAAAAAAAAGCCTTTTTTTATATATAATGAATGTACCTATTATAGTTTGTTAAATTGAAATACTATAATTTCCCACATAGATAAAATAACACATGGATGAAACAAGATTAATATTTATGCTTTCATTATAAAAATAAAAAAATTAATTATAGATATATCTTATTATTTTCATTTTTTTTATATAAAAAAAATATTTTATACATATTTTAAGTTTTTCAGTTTTCCTAAGATTATCTTCATGATTAGTTGATAATATATATGTTTTAAAATAAGTTAATCCATTTAGTAAAGGTATTACTTATTACAACATCATCAATGGGGGTTTAAATTATTTGTTATGATAATCATTGCAATCATTATTATTATTAAATTCTTAAATAATCATTTTTTTGAGAACCAATAATTAGTGCCTCAAAGAATGGCTTAACCAAAAGTATTTGGCTGGTTAGCGACTAATTGGTTACTCATCCTCTCCATGTTCCAAAATTAAACATATTATTGTGTTTCATAATATATCTTTTGTACTATAATTGTATAATATTTATTTTACTTTAACTGTATAATAATTATACTTTCAAAAAAATGTATTTTATGGTTATCAGCCATATATTATGTTCATTACTGATGAACATGCTTTTTATTTATTTATTTGATAAATTTTTTTTTTAATTTTTAGGAGATTGTTTTTCATTTAAATTTCAATGTATCCGTCTAATGGTGTTTGCTGTGGTTTTTATATTTGTCTGTCTGGCTTATGGGGGCTCTGCAAGGTTTCAGGATACTGATGTACATTCAGAAGACTTACCTAAAGCAGCCATTGACTATTTACTTTGTCGACATTGCGGTACAGATATTTCACCATTAACATCTTTAACATCAATCGACAGTCCAGCTGCTATAAAAAAACGTATAACTCAATTATTTGGCTTAAAAGAAGTTAAAGTCCAAACTGTAGAAAACTCATTGCATTTACGATTTGAAATTCTTACATTATCAAAAGCTTTGTGTGTTGGAAAAGGCAATGTAAGTTAAAATATTAATAATTATATAAATACATTTTATATTGCTCAAAATTTGTAATCTTTATTATTTATAATAACTTAAATAATTGTTTATATATAATAAAAAGTTCATATAACATTATTATTTTCATCAAAATTAAATTAATTGACTTGTACAATATTATAGTATTATATGGACATGGTTATTGATTTAATTTCTTATAATGAAAAATAATATTATTTTGTTTAATAGTGGCAGTCTGAAGATTCATGGTATCCTGGTTACGTTTGGAAAGTTTGTGTTTGTGCTCAATGTGGACGTCATATTGGATGGTAAGTTGAAAGTTTATATGCAGTTTATAATTATTATTATGAAGTCTGACTAACGAATATTTATTTTAATAACTATTTATTATTTTACCAATTATTATAGTGGACATTTAATATCATAATAGTGTAATATATTAACGTGGTACATTACAATAGATATATTTCTCTTTCTTTAAACTATATCTTTGTGATATTTGTATGTATTAAATATATACATACTTATTGCAATCATATTGTAATCCATGGACTCAAAGTTATGCAGTGGTAGTAATTTAGTTGATCACAATACATATAGTAAAAAAAAAATTGCATAATTTCACTCAGCTACCATTTAGTGTTATCATCCAATTGTATCAACTAATTTATTACATTAAGAGTATCTTTACTACACTCATATCTCATAGAAAAAAGTCAGGGTAATTTATTTATTGCACTCTAAACTAATATTTTAATAGAAAAATATCCCATGATCTCCCTATTATTTACTTGGGATGAGCATTGATTAATAGTATGATGTTAATCTTAAAATAAGGAAAAATATAGTTATTGTCATAATAAATCATTTAATTTTTTTTTGAAAATAAATTAATATTATTCTTAGTTTATAATTATTAATATTATAGAAATTCTATTTAAATTTAAGTGTAAAATTTTCTGTTATTTTATTGCTTATTACTAATTTCATCTTCAATTTTAACATTTTGGAAGTGTTTACTGTTTACTTGCACCTTTGTCTTTCACTTCATTTTCATACTATGTCTTCTTTTACCCATATCTCTTTTACACACAGAATATTCTCATATTATTTTAATTTTTCCTCTTCTTGTACTTAGCTTATTAGCTTATTACTGATAAAAAAAGAAAAAAACGGGTTTTATGCAAATCTGTTCAATGTATATAATTATTAATTTAATTAAACATTTAAAACTAATATTGTTTAAAAACATATATAAATATTAAATAGTAAATAGATAAAATTTATTATATTGCCTATATTTTCTACTTATATTTATTAAATATTGTACTTATAATATAAAATGGACAATTTATAATTTAAAAATTTAATTTATGTAGTTTCTCATATTTTCTATTTAAATTATACATGTATTTTAGGATGTTTGAGCCATTACACTTAGCTACTAGTGAAAGAATATATCCATCAAATAAAGGTTTTTACATTGTCATCATCTCAAGTATTATTAACGAATTACGTAAGTTTTTCATTTTAGTTATTGTTAGATCTATTTATAATTATAATAATTCTATTATTCTCATTTTTATGTTTACTGTAATTGTTCATATGGTATAACATTTTTGTTTTATAGGATAAACATAATATTTGTCATGATGTGATAAGAAGCAAAATATTGTATTCTTTTATGTAGTATATTATATTACTTTGTTTTAGTTTTATATTTAATAAAAATTGTATTACTGACTTTTATAGTTAATGTATATTTTGAATTTAATATATTCAATATGCTTTTTAAGGCGCTCTTGTGAATTCAATAGCATATTTGATAATTTTTTTAATTTGATGAAGCAAATCAAGTTCTTTAATTTTTGTTTTTATGGATGCTTTTAATTGAATTGCTGCAAGTCTATGTATTTTAATTTTTTTTTTTCAATTTGTAGATTGATTCATTAATATAATGTTCGTTCACTATTCTTTGTATATATCAACTTCTTAAGTTCTTTATTGGATCCTTTATCTTAGTCTAACATAATCTGCTTCATATGACTGTCTCGGTTTTCTTAATGGTTTCCTTTCAATTACACCTTTAATTACAGATCTTATCTATGCATTATTTTTTATAGGTACCCAAGTTATTTTATTTCTTCCTGATGTCCATATCAATCTTCATTATATTTATGGTACACCTATTCAGTGTTATTCTTTCTGTTCAGGAAATTTTTAATGCCCTTTTCTAACATGAAGTTTTGAATGCTTCTATTTTTCTTTTATCAGATTTCCTAATTGTCTAGTGATTGACTCTGTTCTATAGAAAGCCATGAAACATTTTTTCTGATTGTAATACTTCAAGCTATTGTGATGAATAATTTTTTTCTTTTTGAAAAATACCTGCTTAACTTGTGCTATACTACAGTTAATATTGTATCGCATGTAGTTGGTCCAGGTTAGGAGCCTTCAGTGATGATATCAGTTAAATAACAAGGTCACCAACCCGCAGCTGAGATTTTGAAATTGGAGCATATGGGATTTTATTTTTAAATTGATAATTATAATAAAAAAAAATAAACAGCATTTATATTAATTGTTCAATCACTTGTATTTAATGAAATACAAAAATATCAAATACCAAATTTCTATATTTTTTATATTAACACATGTTTACATATTTCATATCTACTAGGTTTATTAATTTATGGCTAATCTATGGCTTTATCAAATTGTTAGTTATTATTTGTTTGCTTAAATTCTTATCTGCTGTTTTTGAGATAACTCACATTTTTCCAATTGTTTTATATATTTGCCAGGTTGTTTGTGCATTTTTTTATTATTTAATTTAATTCCTTATCTGGAAAGGCATTTTAAATAATTTACATAAAAAATTAATCCATGAATTAATTTTAATAGAATTTACCACTGTTATTGTGGTTTGAAATATTAATTTTAGAGATTTCAAACTAAAATATCTAAATTATAACTAACTACTATATAAGTTGTAAATTCTCATTTACTATAGTAAATTAAGTGTTGTTCTATAATTTAGAAGTATTGCTACAATGAAAAATAATATTAGAGTATCTATTCATGTATTTATCCTAAATAATTAAATATTCATTAGTTTGTACAATAATAAATAAAGTAAATTAATGAATAATTTTGTTTGTTCTAGATGCTGATTCATTAATTTTAGTGCCGAAACATTTTTCTACTATAGGACAAATCTCAGATTAAAAATGTCATCTCCAAGTGATTTAAAATCTGCTCATTCTGAATATGAAATAGAGAATAAAGGAAATATCACTTTTGTTAAAATTCCTGCAACTTATGTTGATGAACCACTTACAGAGGAGCAAAAAGAAAAGCTATTAGAGTTTGAGGAAGAGTTTATACTTCGATATACAGATGACGATAAAGAATATGTTGCTACAAAAACTCTTGGTAGTACAACTCCACCATTAATTCCTTCATATAGACCTTTTAGGAATTTTAGAAGAGATAATAACAGGCAGAGAAATTCTAAAAGAAGTGGGGATGATGATCAGAGAAGTTATGATAATGATCAGAGAAATTATAAAAATAGAAATTCTTCTCATAATCAACATGCATATGGTTACAATAACTACTACAGAAGATAAGTTGGTTATATATAAAATGTGTGATTTTTTTAAATTTAGCAGTTATTTATATGTGCTATTGTATCTATGGAATTAAAACTCAAAATTGAATATCGCAATATTATAACATGCATTAATGAACTTTTGAATAAACATTATTTTTGAAATTTAAATTAAATATTATATTTATTTTGTAGTGTTAATATGTTCATTATAATTAAATATTTTTTGTCTAATAATTAATAAAATTTGTTATTTTCTGGCAAGTTACAAAATAAATGGTTTGCCTTACTTTTTAAAACTATGATTTGATACTTGGATTTTAAGGTTTCAAAATTTAAATTTATTACATTTACTTACTCAATTCATGTTCTTGAGTTGAATGTAAATATTTTTTATTACATATGGTTAGCAAATTGAATACTTTTAAGTTCTTCAAGAATTTTTGTTGATAAACCTGGACATTAATAGAGATCAAAAAAAATATCTTTATACTAAGATGTATATATATATTTATTAACATTTTGTGTAAATGTGGTTCTAATTTTTTAGTAAACTAGTAAATGGCTGCAGAATATAGGCACTTCTGATACAGAATTGTATGAAATAATGAATTGTTTAAAAACTAATCTCACAGAAAGATTGGAATAACAATTTTTTGGTATATATTTTATTTCATGCAGTCTTTACTTAAAAGCAAAAAATCTTTGGGAAATTTTTTGTTAATGCATAATAACATAAGTTTTTTAATTTCTAAAATGAAAAAAAATTTAATGATTAAATGCTTACAATTAAACAAAATTTCTTACAATGATTTAGTGAAAATTGTAAAAACATCATAGTAAAAAATTTAAAAAAGTTGTCACCAATAATAACTTTGGTTCCTTCTAAACGACGGAAATATGGAATAATTATAGTTTGAAATCATTCTTCAAATATTGGTTGATCAAACCACCTAGAGCAGTGGTTCTCAACCGGGGTGGCATATCACCCGAGGGTGACATGGACACAGTGTAGGGGTGACACGAAATCTCCACAGGAAAAGGAAAAAAATTAGAAAAAAATTAATTTTAATAAAACCATATTATTACCATAACAGTCATGTAAATAGCACACCTTTAAGTTTACATATTTATATTATTTAGATCCAATGAATACGTGCAGTATTGTTATTAACGCAAAATCGATGTATTATCGATTTTTTTATCGACTTAACCGGGGTCGTTAGTTATTTTACAGTCGTTAGATATGTAGTATTATTATATACAAATAAAACAAATAACGAGTATAAAATCTTTAAAAAATCTTCTCTTTTTTTTTTTTAATTTTAAGTATAAACTTTATAATATCAATGTTTATTGAACCTTGCAACTCAATAAATTGTAGGTGTACTTATTATTTTTCTGTTTTTATTGTTTTTGTTATTTAAAGAATTATTCTAAAATACACAGTTAAGATTATTTATTATTTTGATGTTAGGGTGACGCGGTGTTTAATTCTAGTGGCTAAAGGTGACATGAATGAGAAAAGGATAAGAATCACTGACCTAGAGGGTGATCTGTTGTATCTACACCCTTCTGGCCCTCCTAATGTAGGGATTTGTAATACAACATACGGAGGAAGCATAACACCAGATGCATCAATAGCAAACAGTCTGCTACATCGGTTGACTATTGAATCTATAATTAGCATGTTAATTTTTTTTCTCACTAAAACTTTTGTTTTACCCGGATCATCTATAAAATCTGTCTCATCATAGTTATGCTTTTTGTTGGTATATTTTCTAAACTTAATTAAAGGTTATTAAAATATTCAATGATGGTAGTTCTTGAGACAGCAGCTCCTGATCTTTTTATATTCTCGGAAAGTCTAGGTTTTAAAAGATCAGAATGTCTGGATAAAAAACTTGTGTACCACTCATCGCCAGGCTTATTATTTTTAAATATTTTTAATTTTAGGCTAGCACGATCTACGTGTAACTTAACAAATGACAACTTCTTCCCTATCAAAACGGTAACCCCAATCAGAAGCAAATAGTATTGTTTCTACAATACTATCTTCTTCACTGGAAGTTAAAACTATTTGGCCTCCATAGGAATTAAGAAAAGTTTTTTATTTTTTTTTTCTACTTAAAGTGCTTATGGTATATTATACTTATCAGAAGCCTCTCGGTATGTCAATCTTTTATTTTGGATTTCGTTTAATCAGTGGTTAAAGTGGAAGACAGGACGGAGGGGACGGAGTCCCCCTTCTTATTTAAGGTAAGATTATGCGTCCTCTTTAATTTAAGTCGCCAAAAGTCCGGGTGGGCGCTTAATGGCATTAGTCACTAAAATACAATACTTATTATAATATTACAATATTACATGAAATTTATTTTTTTGATTAATTTGAACAAGTGGAAAATAAAATAATACGTAGTTATAATATATAAAGTATTTATATTTATTTGTATTTATATTTTACAGTAATAATGTATTTCAATTTATTTTTACTGAGTAGGCATATGCATAGAATTATTTTTCTTTGGGGGAAATTTGTTTTTACACCCTATAAAAATACATTTTTTATGAAATTATATGTGTAACAAAAGAGGCTTAGACCTCATAGGTTTCCTAAAAAAGGTTTGTAAGATTTAAAATTAGGTAGGGGCAGGGCCATGTTAAGAGGGGGTTAAAGGAGGCAATTGCCCCCGGGCGCCGTAGTTTTTTAAAAGTAAGGGGGTGTCCTTATCTGTACTTAATATGCTACCTGTGCCAAGTGGCCCCGTAGAAAAAAATTTGCCTCGAGGCGTTGAAATGTTTGACATGGCTCTGGGTAGAGGAACGCTCCTCAATTTTTTATGCATTCAGTCCCCCCACAACATTTTTCCCATTTTAACCACTGCGTTTAATGCGTTTGCCAAAGTTTCGTCAGAAAAATTTCGGTATGTACGACTGTCAGGTTAGGTTAGGGATTTATAGCACTTAAAATCATTAAAATAAGCATTTAAAAAATTTAAAATTAAGCAAAATATTTATACTACCTATAAAATTCTAATTAATAAATCAAACGAAATAAAAATAAATATTCACTTTCAAAACTTTAAGGATTTTATGGATTTTCTAAGGAATTTTACTGAAAAATAAAATGTGAATTGTTCTCTCTGTTCTTAATCATTCTGACGTTTGACACTCAGTTCTATTTTCAGCGTTAGAACATCTTTGTTGCAATGAACTACGTCATAACGTAGAAGAATTATTTTTAATTTTAATTCTATCGAAAACGATTTTCCAGGAGAAAACTGTAAAAACTTAAAAAAACTGGTCAAATAAGCAAAAATAATCAGAAAAATTGGAAATAAACATTATTTTTGAAAAACTACTGAAAAAAGCAAAAAAAAAGGCACTTTCAAATTTCATAATTGTACGTGTTATAACTTGACATACACTTCTATAGCACTCTGCTACATTTTAGGGTAATCCATAAAAATAAGCCAATGCTTTAAGTTCCGAGCCCTGTTTACAAGTAATTCTAATTCAGAAAAATGTTAAGTCCTAAAAAAAACCGGGTCTAAATATGAAAATATTTTGAAAATTAATAAGGATTCGTCTTATTATAAATGTGAATCATTAACATCAAAATAATTGATCAAGGTATATTTTCGGACCTAATTGAGCCATATATTGAATGTCTAAAGTGAATAGAATTTGATAGTACAATGCTTATAACTTAAAAATTTAGGGATAATAATAGACACTTTCAAAATGTATTATTATTTAAAATAATTATAAATATAAATGAAATAAATAACAATTTCACAATTGTTTATAACAAATATAATAAAATATAATATTATGAGTAAATATTATAATTTTTAGTATGTAAAATATATTAAGTGCAATTATGTATTATAAATTATATATGTACATGTAGCAGATGATATAATTTTTTTAAAATTAATTAAAATAACTATTTCTGTTATAATTGTTAATTTACAGTAGGTACATAATGATAAATTATAATAAATAATGATAAGTATAATATATATTGATAAATAAGTACGTACTTCCTGATTTGTAATAAAATATCATGTTACAATTTATTGAACTATAATTAATAGAAAATTCAAATAAATATCAAATACTATTATTTTAGTGATAAAATATCATATAAGTTTAGGCTTTCACAAATAAACTACTGGGTATACTATGTAACATAAAAATAACAACAATATCATTAATACATAATTTTAATTAAATAATCTTTTAATCATGGTTGCTATATAGAATATATCATAAAAATACAGCTTTATTGCATATATTTCTTATAATACTGTTGTAGGTAATTGTTTAGTCAATTTTATTTGAGTGCTTTTTTCAAACTATTTAACTAAGGACATTGCTGTTTTCGTAGAAAAAATAAATATCAGTACTTATATTATTATTATGTTCTATGGTTTATATACAAAATAAATATTTTTTATTTCGTCTTAGATACAAACGATTATAATTATTTTAATTAAAATCGAGTGACAAAAATATAAATAGTTTGCGGTTAAAATTGATATCATGTGCACATATATGCAATGAAAACATTTTTTAGTGGACTCACGAAAATGTATAGTTGTCAAGAAAACAGAAAATATATTTTGTAACTTTGAGAAATAAAAAATGAAAGTTTTTTGGTAAATACTTCAAAGGTTATGGGTATATTTTGTTGTAATATAATATATTGCGTTTAAATGATTACTTATTTTCATTATTTTCAAAATATTTGAGTATACCTAGTCAAACGGTCGTACTGATTTGTATAAATAAATAAATAAATTGATACATAATTGCCCCTTTCCGCTTTTGTTATTGTTATTAATCTATATTCGCCATACTGTTATGTTTGTTTTTAACACAGACACTTTAATTAAAAAAGAAAATGTATCTTATCGTTAGAGCCATTGTCACGATTTCATAATTAATTTTCTGTAATTCCTACATTCTGATTGTACATGTCTAATATCTAATACGAGGTTAATAATATTGCTTGAATTTAATGATACGTATTTAATAGACCTATAAATAAATTTGACGAGAATAATAATGTGATTTTTGGTTTTAAACAATAATAAATCAAACGTTACAGATTAAACGATACTATTGTACGATAAAATGAATCTCTATAACACTACAGGTTAGGTTAGGTTAGGGGAGAGTTAGGAGTTCCCTCCCCTCCCCACCCAAAAATATCAGAAAAAATTGTATAAAAAATTAGCTGACCTATAAATTTAATAGTTATTTCAAAGTCTCCCGTGATACTTGAAAAAAAAATAAATAAAAAAAATAAATTAATACATATATCATATGAGTAATAAAGCATGCTTTTTATCAGCATTTTGCATTCTACATATTTCCTGAACATTTTTCCTGCGTTCGTCCCCGGTTATAAAATGTACCTCCTACTCGTTTAATGTTTGTTCGTGCTAATCACGGATGGATTAGTACGCGGTGTAGGATGAGTACAGCGGACCCGCGGTGGTGCGATGCGCGAGCAGCGTCCTCTTCCATTGGTGATGACTGGCCGGTGGCGGCGCGGGTGGCACGTAGTACTCGTACGAGAATATTTTTTTGATGTTGCTCATCAGCGACACCATCAGTGCCATTTTGCTGACCAACAGCGCTTTACCGCCCAACGTCGACATGAACATAAAGCCCATCGGTATTAGAACGGCCGACATGATCATGTACGTGCCCACTATGATCGGGAACACCTTCCGGTAAGCGTGTCGTCTGCGACCTGTCACAATCGGTCCAATAACATATGATTAATTTCAACCGCGTGCGCATCAAATTATTACACTGTGGCCGGAGATACGGCGTGGAATATATTCGTATATAGCGGACAATAATAAAACTAATAATATAACTAGGGATATTATCGCTAAATGAAACGCTGAAAAATGCTTTGATTCCACCGAGATGTTGTAAAATATTTTATTACCAGGTTGCAGGGAGACACTCAAAATGATAATGATATGCGGACAAATAATTCAATGTGAACATGATAATTATGCAAAGCAAATGTAAACACAGGTGCAACAGAGCTCAATGCCTATTATGTTAGGATTTGTTAAACGAGAAAATTGTATATTTTAACAGTCAATGGCCACGTTATGAAATGATCAATATAGAATCTATATTAGCACGCGCCACGCGGTGGCCTGGTTCTTCGCTGTACGTGCGATTCACAAAAAAGTATCGAATTCGTATTACATTATGATGCTGTTATTGATTTTCGTTTTTGAACCGCTGTGCGATGGTTATTGAGTTATTCGTTTTTAAATTTAATAGATAAGGAAAAAACAAAAGGCACATGATCGGAATCAAATCAAATTAATCTAATTAATAGAGTATCACCTTAATAAAAGAGACCTATAATAAATAGGATAAATAAAAAATGTTGATTTCTCATGTTTAATTTTTACTATTTATTTTTGTATTATCGTATAAAATATACTACAATGATTGTGCATCTATTTCACAGTTCATATATTTCTATAAACTGAAAAGTAATAAATACATAGTACAATGATTATTTGTTAAAAATATTTAAAATTTCAATTTCTAAGTATGTACATCATACGTTTTAGGAAAATGTATTTTAATTTTAATTTTATTATTCCGTGTTATTTTGATTTGTTAAAATTAAACTGTCGAACTTAGGAACAGAACGCATATGTAAACAGATTTGATAGGTGTAGCTTTTATAAATGTCTAAAAATTAACTATTAATTTTTAAATATAAGCTTATTTATGTCTATTACCATTGTTAAATTACATAGGTATGTAGTATAATAAGCATGTGCCAAGATAAAATGTAAGTATTAATTGTATAGATAACATATATACTATATACAGAGCCAACGTAAGAATAAATGACGTCCCAAGCCTAAATGGCAACTGGCGCCTTTTTCATGCAACAACCCATAATATCATAATACTTAGAAAAAAATGTTGTTCATGGACAGAAATACGGAAAAATTATATAATATGCTCAACTTGTACATAATTTGTTATCGTATAATATTTTAATTACGAGACACGACGGCTTGAGGCGATCATGATTAAACGATAACAAATATTGGGGAATTATTATATTCATAGAGCAACATGTAGGATAAACATTCTATCCTAAATTATAGTAAATATACTACTGGCTAAATTAAATAACCATAATAATTATCAATATTTCAATACAAAGTTATAGGTATTTTATATTTAAAAATAAAATAATATTATTGACATGTGCAAAATTGTAAAAAGCAATTTCGGCACCCCTTTGAAAATGGCGCTTTAGGCTACTACATGAGTCGTCTTACCCTCACAACGGCCCTGATTATGTATATATTTATGAACAAAAAAATCCCAGCTCATGGAATTATAGAATAAAATAAGATAAATAACTAAATAAATATGAGAATAAAAGAAAGAGAATGAGAGAGAGAGATAATGTTGTGTAAATAGTTTCTCTGTACCTAATCTAAATTTGTTTGTGTAAATAATTAATTTTTGAAATTTATATTAATTATTTCATTTTATGTCGGTTCTGGATCATTTTTTTTGTTTATTTATTATTTTTTTTATTAGACTTTCCGGAAGGTTATTTGGAATGTTATATTTAATGACAAGCGAGATATTAGTATACTTTTATAAGAATATTGTTTAGCATAAATTAACATTTTACTATGACAACGACTGAGGAAAGTTGTCGAGAAAATATCTAGAGTACGTTTTTCACTGTAATTTCATAATACTCACATCCAGTGACACGTATATCACAAGAGTGCACACGTCGCAATAATTCTTGTTCACAAAAGTTGTATACAGCTATAACTTTTCCAACCTTTATAAGTTTATTGGGTTATCTTAGTTTCAGTAATTACCAGGTGTAACGTTATATTATAATCTATGGTATAACATTTAATATTTAACTGGGTCAATTTTCTTCAAGTATTTTTGTAGTAATTTCATATGCTCATAGTGTATTTTTAACACATGTATTTTTAACACATGGGGATGATAAATTTACATTTTTTGATATAAATGACTTGTGTGTTCCATTCAAATGTGATAAGTAGGACTAACATGAATAAGTAAATAATATTTATTAGAACACGATTATTGAAATATTGCATACCTTCGACGGTGGCGTTATTGTCCGGTATCCAAAGATCGATTTGCAACGAATGACTTTCCACGAATGAAATCATTCTGTCCATGATATCAGAAGAATAATTCCTGTATCGAAAAAGGTTAATTGTTAATAAGTATTTCAAGTTTACAAGGAGCTCGCTAGACAATAAGCCTTCGAGTTGAGCATCAAAAATGATCTCATAGTGCACATTACAGATTAAAGTATGAGTCGACTTATTATGATGGGTTAACAAGGCTTTGATGTCTAAGAAATAGGCTTAAACTTTTATGCAGAAATCATTTTGTATCAATTTAGAAAAGGCTTCTTTCGAACGTGCGGGTTCTAAATATCCGCAATTCAAAATTTACTGGAGTTTCAGGTTAATGATATTTCTGTCAAAGTACCTAATGATAATAGGATTCCGTACAATAAAGCCATAATGTGTGTGTCTACATTATGTACGATAATAATGGAATCAATTCTTCGGGAAAAATACAACTGATTACAGTAATACAGAAGGTAGTAAAAGAATACTACCATTATGTTCTATGTAAAACACTAAAATAGAGTACGTATAATATTAATTATATTGAAATAAATAGTCATTTAGTAATTGTTTTTATTAAGTATCAATAATAAAATAAAGAGGTTTGTTACTATAAAGTATAATAATTATCTACGATACATGAAATTATTATAGTAATTAAGTATAAAAATAAATAAAATAATTTGAATAGTACTATAACTATAAGGTCTCGATTGACCAAATATTTATGGTAAAATACCATTCTACAAGTATATAATGATGCAATTTGTGTAACTACTTACTTCCGAGTAAATGTATAAATATTGAAATATTGTTTCTCATTTTAATGTCATTACGTTATTGTGACATGGTTGAACACTATCATGTATTTTAAGTTTAAATATTTTCTGTAGGTTTGATTATTTTTTTTGAATATTAATTAATCAACTCTTTGTGTTTGAAGTTACCAAGATGGAATCATGCGAAATTACGAGCGAAACTTAATAAAGTACTGTTACAATATACAGTAAGTAAAATCTTATTATGTAATTTATTTTCCGACTTTATATTTATTAGAACGATGTTCAGTATTGGATTAATCTAATATAAAAGCATTATTTTTTTATGGAATATTTTGGGATACCCTCTAGAGAAATGTTTGAGTATTGAATGATATTTTTTTATATTTTAAGAGACATTTTATCTATGCATTTATTCCAAGAATAAATCTCCTGAATCTATAAGCTTAAACGTCCTAATGTCACCACAATAAAGTTTAAATATATAATGGAATTTGAAGTATGAATAAAAATTAAAATATTATAAATCTAATTTTAACATAAATCAAACAAATAAAATAATATAAATTTATAAAATGTTTTCGACACATCTTCTTTCCACTTTTATTTTTTATTACCTATACAATTAAATCTGTACCACGTAAAAGGTAGAATCAAACAGTCACAAATCTTTAGAGACTAAAAATAAATCTAGTTTACTCAATCTCTTAACTACATTTTTATTTATCATGAATTAAATTTAAAACATTGATCTTTAAACTGATTTAGTCGATTTAGCAATAATATCTCCATGTATTGATTTATTAAAAACAATGTTATAAATATGAATAATATATTATATAATATTATTTAATAAACATTTGCAAATTTTAAATTTACAGAAAATGTATGAAATTTGTATAGTAATATTATTGATAGAAAAATTTGTATTTTGAAAACAAAATTTATTGGAGAATGTTATACATTTTAATAAAAAGTAAATTTCGAATATTAAAATAAATAAAATTTATAAACTCAAATTAAAATTATTTTTGATTATCTCAATATAGCAATGAAATATTAATACATTTTTTTTGTATCTTTTAGAAAACTATTTGATTATACTTAAAATATAGATTACAATTTTGAAACCACGTACTGTTAGTGGAAATGTAAAATTTTCAAAATAGATTATAGAACGCTCACTATAGTCAGTTTTCTTATCAATACATTGAAAAGTGAAGTTTTTATCAATTTAAATGCAGACTTTTGAAAAGCTACAAAAATGAGCGTGTTAAACTTATTACCAAAATGTTTTATCACTCTATTCAAATATACAATGGTAGTAATTTTGTGGTTATAAAGCGTAAACCTTATTCGTACTTTGATTTCAGTATTGAGTTATCCTTGTACCCTTTTTGATAGGTACCCAGTAAGTAAATTGAATTAAGTTTGTGTTAGAGTTTTATTTTGAATAAAACTGCAGACTATAAAATTTGATATTTGTTCATTATAGTTTTATTTAATTTTTTGAAAGCGCAACATTTTACTTTTATTTTATATTATAGGTTTTAGAATCGGATGATAATATTGTGCAGTAAAAAATATGGGCCAATATTGTCATAGTTAGTTATTGCAAATATATTTTATAAAAAACGTCCTGTCTTGAGATATGTTTTTACTTCTTAATAGCATTTTTTAGCTCTTAATCTAGAAAGTCTGGTACCTATATCACAAATTTTGTTAATTCTTGAAACGATTTTTTTTTCTTTGATTAACTTAGGAAAAATGTTCTAAGTGCAAATAATGTGCACTTGTCGATTATCTACATAAATCATAAAGAAGTTATACTTCCAATGTATTTTATTTAATGCATATATATAATTGTATAAGTACCAAAATAAATTTGTTTTTTGTATCTCATTTCAGTGGTGTGTTAGTTTATAAATTTGCTACTGTAAATATTAAAATATTATTGTATACAATAATACATCACGTACTTATCAATTAGTTTTTAACTGCAGGTTCTACATATTACTTGATGAATTGGCTAGTAAACTATGAAGAAAATTTAATTTTAAGAACTAATAATGTTTTATGATCGACACTTCAAAATTATAATTATTGCTAATAATATAATGTTTTAATAGTTATCTTGATTATTTTACTCTAACAAAAATATATTCATACACATTGCAAACGACCAAATACCTGATTGCGCCAAATGTACTTTACACATGTACCATTTTTAATCTTTTCGCCGGTTAATATAACATAATCGCGATCTCCAATACGATCTCACACACGTTTCAAAGTTCGATTAAATTTTTGAATTGAATCGTTTATATTTTTACAATCTTTAACTTCAGCTTTAAAGCTAATTTAATGCTTTTTTCTAAGTCTCCAATTTAACCCTTTGTTCAATTATTACATTGTTTTAGTAAGCTTTGAAAGAATTACGTTTTATTTCTCGTGGCTCTTCAAAGTTCTACGATTTATTGTTTTATGTGCGCGTACTTAATAGTTTCTGTGTTTAATAAATCCTACAATATTGTCGAGTGGCTCAGGATTTTCTAGTGTTATCCTCGGGTTATTTCTTGGGATTTTCCATTTGACCGTCTACACATAGAATTTATGAAATATTCATCAAGTATTGAGTGTATTAAGTAAATTTACCAAAGACCTATTTCTGAATTATTTAGTGTCGTAAAATACGGGCTGATCTATAGTTTATTTACGAGAGTGGACTAATAGTTCCTAGGGTTAATTTGAATTATTATTCAAGTTCAATTTTTTAATTCAAATACTATTATTACATCGACCTCACAGATTTAATACAAATTTGGGAGACGAATATAATCCATTAGATCGTGCTTTGCATTTAATTAATTCAGTTGCAACTAATTTAAATTATTTATAAAGCTTATTAAATTTGAAACTTAATAGAAGTTTATGTCATTTTAAAAAATTATTGTGTAGTACTTAAATATTGATTTTATTATTTTTATTGTATTCTTATACTCATAAAAATATGGTATTTATTTATTCCGTAAATCATGATTTATATAAACTCTGTGAAATTTACATAATTCAACAAAATATATAAATAAATAGTAAATAGATGATCCATTTTAATTTTATTTTTAAATTAAAATATAATTTTATGGTTTTTATAAACAAAAATTTGAATATTTAATAAACCACGAAGATAAAACTAGGTAAGATGAATATTTATAGTTTATTTAATATGTTTTCTCCGTTAAAGTAAAGTGTTTCACGTAAATATACTTAAGTAATTAATTAATGTGTATTTTAATGTCATTTAGTCTCTTATTGCAGATAAACTTGAATATTAATAATTTAGGTGTGAATATATAACGTCAAAATAGAACCCAACACTAAAATAATTTTAAATTAATTAAAAAATAATAATTAATTTTTAATTTTAATAATTATTATATTTAAAGTTTTTTAGTAACTTCCAATAAAACTTGTTATGTATATATTTTATAATATATGTTTGGGATAAAAAATTACATTTATTTAATGTGATAAAATGATAATATATTTTAGTTGATTGTTTCAAACGACTGAACCTACCTGATGAATTTAACGTGTATTAATAAACACAAAGTTAAATAAAAATATCGGAGAATGAACGCCACGATTTGTTTTCCCTTAATCCATAATACTCGTGTAACTAACTAAAGATTGATAAAATAGAGTGGCATATTGGTATTATGATAATTACTTTACATAATTCAGTAGTTAAAGATTTTATATATAATTATGAAAAATCCAAAATGATTTAACTTTTAAAATATTAAAAATGAATTTATTGTTAAAATAAAACTATGTAAAAGTCCAATTTGCTCGATTTTAAAATAGTCGATGCTATATTGACCGCTTTATATTGTTTTGTACTGCTATATATATATATATATGTATATTGTGGTCTTTGGATAGCTTATATTTTTTTTTAAATATAAGTGCTATTTATAATTTGTGTAAATTATTTATGAAAAATAACTATAATACCGTAATGGTTTGCTTTCAAATCATTAAAAATCAAAGTCTAAAAAATTATAAAAATATTGTAACTGTTTTAAATAATTAATTTAATGATTCACATAACTTTTTTTATGAGAAAGAAGTAAGAAAAAAGTAATGCTGTTTGTGGTGAAATGTTTGGTTAAAATCAATTTGAAATTAATTCAATTTAATAATTACATCAAATTACGTGTTAAACGTTTGGTTCGTAACGATAAAGGTAATAAAACCTCGATAGTTCAGTATTCAAGAGAAAAAAAAATATTTTGATTTATGAAAAATAATCTAAAAACCATCCAACGAATTCAATATGGGCGGAAATGTTGAGTCTAAGTTTTTTTTTGACTTCAAATTTCGTGAAATCAAGATTATACTGTATATGCAACGTAAAATTGATTTAACCGCACAGAGTTAAAGAATCGCCATTATAGAATATATTCTATTAGATTAATGATATTCTATAGTAAAATATTAAATTGAAATACATCACCTTGGCAAATGTAAAAAATTAAAACCGAGTATACTTATGCCAGTTTGGTAAATAAACACATTTAAATTTTTGTTAAAAATTTTAATAGAGATGAAAATATGAAAATGTTTCCAATATTGTGGAAAGCCAGATTAAATTGATTTTGAAAAAAAAAGTAAGAACTATTATGAATACCCTTAAACACAAGAACAAATATTTGAATTTCTTTTTTGTTTAAACTGGCAACAGTAGTAATGGTTTTATAAATGTATTTTATCGTCATCAAATCCTCAGAACTTTGTCAATAAAACGAAATCCCACATTGATGTACATTTAAATCAAAGTATGAAAAACCATATTGAAAATACTTTTCAAACACTCGATCTAAAAAGTATCTAAAATAGGTTCTAGGTAATAAGTAATGTACCTATTTTAATGCATGCTTATTCGAATACTATACTACAATAGCAAGCGAATAATACCATATAATGCCGTAGTAGATTCCTGTTACGTTAAGGTGAACAGGAAAAATTATAGATATTGATAGTTGCATTGAATTGAATCATAACATTACCATTTAGTCGTAGCTAGAGAATTTAGTTTTTACACAGTTTTACTATCCACCAAGCCATCGCAGCATTTAATTAAATGGCCTAGTGATATAACTAAATGTAATACAATACTAGGTAAAAATTGTATGAAATGAAACATTTTTAAAATATTTGTCATTTAAAACTATAGGTACTTATTTATCTCAATACCTATGAGTAGGGAACGGATTTATATGAAAGTACATATTTTTATTAAAACGAGATATTTAAGATTTGATAAGAAATGTTTATGATTTAAATCATTCCTATTAAAATGATGATACTTTTATTTTACATATTTTTACATATTTTGGTATAATTACATATTTTTACATATTTCACTAATTTTTAAATATTTTTATCATTTCATCGTTCATACGTCTTCTTCGTATGAAAATACAAGAAATTATTTCAAAATTAGATCCAGAAACTTCTATCACTATTGGAAAAGCTCAAAATATTATGCTAAATAAAACATTGAAAATAATTTAATTTTAATTAAAAATAATTTAACAAAATTATTAATAAAAAATATGTCCCCAAATGATAGTATGCAAATTGTTGAATCAGCGATTAAAACTCGTAAGCGGACCAATAGATGTTGTAAAAAAGAAAATTTATGCTGTTACAGAAAAAATTCCAGGCAATATTGATTTTAAAACAATCAATGACATAATGAGTGGCAGACACCCTTCTAAAAATTTGGAATTATCGCCTTCTGATAGTACGCACTTGAAATATACTTTTAAACATCGGTTGATATGAAACGATAATTTCGCCGTTTTAAAAATATTTTGATACCTAATAGGCGACATTTAACATTTGATAATTTAAAAGATATTGTAATAATTCAATGCAACAAATCATTTTGATAATTTAATAATAATAATCACTTTTTTCTCCCCATATATTTGGATGTTTTTAGCACATATTTTATAAATTATACTTACATATATATGTAAATATTTCTGTATTTTTATTACATATAAATCCGTTCCCTACCTATGAGTTATTTATCGTTATTATTTAACTAGAATTAAATTAAGATAATGGCCTATTACAGTAAAATTCGTACCTTGACTATTCAAAGGTGAAAATCTATAGCTGTTTTCATATTCTTGGGTTGATAGAACTTTATTGTTTGAGTATATATTTCGTACAAGTCAGAATAATAATAAATAATTAATTATTATTATTTTTTTCAATTTTAAGATTGGTTTTTATTAAATGTGATTACAACAGATATTTTCTCCATTTTTCTCTGTCCTTTACTATGTATTTTAGCTCTTCATAAGAAGAGGCTCCAGCATAAATATTTTAAATGAAAAAATTAAATTTTTAATTAAATCAAATAATTAACAGCATGATATCAATAAGATAATATGATTTCAAGTATTATAAAAATATTTCGTTTGTTATTATTCGTAATACACATTCAACTTAATGTCTGAGCGGATAATCGAATTGCATACAATTAAATTTGTTAATACAGTAGAAATTCGATCAACCGTCACTGTCGAGCATATATAAAGTACGTACAAAGTAGTACGCACTAGTGCCCCCTCGTGATAATTGAATGCTACCCAGTGGTGGATGATCGTGCCAGTAACCAACACATTCTCATAATGACCGTAGTGATAGGAGTTGATTTTCCCAATGTGTTCCTCTGCGGAAGAATACCATGTCTATAAACTACGATGGTAGACAATTGTATTGAAGTGTCACCTAGTTAAAATTATTTAAAATATATTCTGTCGTCGGGACTGGGACTATGACGGTTAATCGAATAGGCGGTTAGCGGACATTTTGCAATAAACGTATATATATATATTTTACAACATGTGTATTTTCAGAAAAAAATACACACATATACTATATATTACATACTATACTAAACACTACTAAATTAAAACTAACAGTTTTAAACAAAATAATCTGTTATTTTTTTTTTGTTTTTTCGAGCTTTTTTGGCCGGAATATTTCGTACTCTACGAAGCCGTAAGACCGGGTTACTCGTCAGTCACTGATTAAATAAAATTAAAAATAATTCGATTTGTTCGTTAACGTCGCGTTTATCGCATATGTTGTACGAGAATAATATAATATATATAACGATTAATATAACGACGAGAACTGCGGTTCGGCCTTGCGGACGAAACCGAAAACCCACGCGGGGTGCGTTAGCGTTACCTTGCCGAACGGTCTGTCGTCGTCGTTTTGCCGGTCTTGACCAGCCGTACTCCGTCCGCTATCTGCAAGTGATCCGCGTCTTCCAGCATCCGCATCGTCCTGGCCACCTTGCGGGCCACGCACTGCGGCCACCCGTCCGTCCCGCATCCGTCCGCCGTGGCCCGGTACCAGTCGGTCGACGACCACAGCCGCGCGTCGCCGTTACCGCCGTCGCTGAATCGTCGCCCGATTGCCGCGGTCGTCCCAGGGACCGGTCCCATGTGCACGCTGCAGCTGCCCAACGTTGCGATCGCCGCCAGCACCGTTGCGCGTAACCGATTCATCGTACAGCACACTGCCATCCTCCGTGGCCCGTCCGCCGTCTTTATAGCGAACACCGACGCACGCGCCCGACCATCGTCCCGTGCACAGTTCACCGTAATTAATCCGATCACCGCGCGTGCATAAGTACACCGAATCGCGCAGGTACACCCGCAAAGCCGTAGCCGCTGCGCGACCACCGATCGACGGCGTTCCCCCATCGTTGGCGTCGGCCCGTTTCCGGTTCGATTGTCCACCGGTCCGTGGAAAATTATCGGTCCCGGCCGCCGCCGCTGTAATAGTTACTTACAACCGTGAATCACGAAAACGGAACGGAAAAAAAATTAAAAAAAACCGTCCACATGCAATACACGTGCGCAAAGCGTTCAGAACACGGCGGTGGTTGTATTTCACCTCGTACTGACATCCAATTTCCATGTGGTACTTCAATCTTGGCCCTTTCTTTCTCATCATCATTCATCACTTGGTTCGGCAATGATTTTTTAAACAGTTGAACATACGAGTTATACGTATCGTACCACCAACAATTACAATGAAGAATACAACAATAACGTTATTGTAATTTTTTTATTAGAACTGCTTTCAGAATTCTAAGTGCGTACGGCTTGTTGTTTTCGATGTGTAGTGAGTTATCCAATTACGGCGAAAAAACGCTCAAATAATCTAGTATAAATGCAAGTGTTGGATATTTGTACGTTAAATTCAGAAGTTATTTATAATTAATTTTTTTTACTATTGATCGGATTGCAGTCAGTATGAATTAGTACGTATTAGTTCGACCATCGCTCAAATTCAAATATTATTTAACCATTTTTACCGTTTTTATTTTTTGACCGTTGCACCAGCTTGGCCTCAGATGGTCATGTAAATGTATGACAGTCGCGTGCCAAATATTGGCTTGAAAATATTTGTAAAAATCAAAAAATATGCAATGATGCGAACTAACGAATCGTTACGCCGACCCGGCTAACCGGCCCCTTAATTTTTATGTATTGGTGTGGAACTAATATCATATAAATTGTGGTAATTATTATGCAAGTTCATGCTGATTGCATGATAAATATTGGTTTTAAATTGTTTTACAAAATTTTAAATGGACCTGACTGGCACAAAACACGTTTTAAAAAACTTAGTGTTTGTGTTTTCAAGTCATAATTAATCTAACCGTTACTTTTTGGAAAAAATTAGGGTATAGGACCAAAATAATAATTCAACGATATCCCAGACCTATGTGGTTACAATCGACGAATTAAAAAAAGTTATTAATAATGATCAACATGGTTTTCGTGTCTGAGTTTCTCCTTCTAGGTATACTAGTTATTATAAAAATCTTTCAACTTTTTATCAATTAATAACAGATGTGATGTATTAACGATATTTATTACACCAAATTTTGGGTCAAATGCATTCGACAAAGTAAATCTGCAGTTTTTATTACCTTAAAAATTAATTTCAATCATTGTGTTATAATGTTACTTAGTTTTTTATAAATAATTGTTTACATAATCTATGATCGTACACAAATAGTTAAATATAACAAATGTATTGAATGGTTCTGCTACGGTCTAGAATTTTTAGTCAGGTTTGACTTTTCCATAGTACAATAATGTTAATGGTATAGAAAAAATGACATTTATTAATTTTGGTGTTATTTTTAAAAAGTATAATACTGAAAAAAAAATAACATTTTATCGAAAGCTAAATTCAGATGAAATGATTCGAATTAAAAAAAGATTGACTTTTAACAGTTTTTATTGATAATGAAGTGTGTAGTGACATAGTTCATCGAAGAAGACTTTTGTATTATTCTACAAATATGGATGGTAAAATGGCAAATGCACCAAAGTTACGATGCCGACGTGTATTGGTTTTATTTGTCTGTAAAGTAATGAAGTCCTGATGGCTTATTTTCCATAACAAATATTCATCTTAAACTACTGCTGTTATTGCTGTTATTGTTTTTTAATCTTATTTCCACGTGTCACGTTTTAGTACGAAAGTAGAATTTTGTTTATATTTTATTGTGGTCATTTATTAATAACAGAAGTCACCAGTCGATCAACGTCAAGAGGTAACATATCATATTTTTTATGTTTAAAAACGTTTCTTACTATTCTATAATTTTTCTTGGAACGCTAAAGACAAATGCACGATTTATATTTTATTTTATTTTTTTTTAAATACAATTTTCTATATATTTTCAAACAAAAATTGTTGTGTATAACTTGACAAATAGTTTGCATTAATGTTTTCGTTGGATTTAATATTAAATATTAATTCGGCAACAACGTTCAACATGAACACAGGCATGTCGTAATCGCCCGCGCTCCATTACCATATGGCTATTATATAATTTGTTATAATAACATTAAGTCATTATCATGCCGCATACACCTAAAACAACGAAACGAAACCTATCTAACAGTTCACCCAGTCAAATCAACAAAAAAAAAGTTTTTATCACCCCGAACCGTTACGCCGTACTCAACACTGATGAAGACAATGTACTCGTCACACCTTCAACTAGCACCATGGAAGATCCGGACAGACCACCTCACAAAGTTCACAATGCTAAGCCCGTGGCTCCTCCTATCCACATCAAAAACATATCCAACTTCTCAGTATTCAACACCGTTCTAAAATATATCACCGGACCCAATGGTTTCACCTGTAAGTCAATTCCGTCATACCTCATTGTACAACCCACCGATAAACGAACTTACAATGCAATAATAGATCATTTACACGAAACAAACGCTAGTTTCCATTCGTTTACCCCCCCCCCCCCCCCCCAAATCATCGTACATACAGAGTCGTCATTAAAAATTTTCATCATTCCACCTTACACACTAATATTACTTCTGCTCTTACTGAACAAGGACATTCAGCCAAGAGTATCTACAGTGCCAAAAGCAGGAACAACTGCCCATTTCCAGTATTCTTCGTGGATATCCATCAGCAAGATAATAACAATGATATCCATGATATTACATCTTTTCTCAACACAATGGTGAAAACTGAAAAACCAATCAAAAAAAGGCGGGCCCACCGCAATGCCATAATTGTCAAAACTTCCATATGTATGTCCATCATACAATGAACTATTGCAACCATGCAGTTCGATCAAACTTCAAAGGATGCCCAGCATTCGAGTCAATATTTAAGAAATCTGCTCAAAAGTTTAAACTGGTCAAAGATCCTGACCTTCACTCTAAAAAGTCTCAACCCAGAACCAAAACTAAATCATATGCAGAAGCCATCAACAACCAAAGCAAAATCACAGAACAAATATCAAATATCCTTTCAAAACTCATATCCAATTTAAGCTTTTTAATTAATCCATTAATTTCCCTCCTTACCACAGTCTTAAACACACTAATAGCCAAAGGAATTATCTCCCCATAGTACTATCGCACACCGTCTCATAATACTTTTATAATCTTATCTTTTCTCAGACCTATCCTCCAAACGTCTAACCATGACTATCATTATTAACGACTATATTTTGTCAATTTAGAATTTATACATTATTATTATTATTATCTCTCTCTAAAATTAATTATCCATTATTTTCATTTCACAACAACATCATTATTATTTTCTTTTAACCGTATCATTATTATATAAATAATACCTTGTAATAATATGTAATATGTTGACACATTGTAAGTTTAAATAAATAAAAAAAAAATAAAAATATTAAATATTTCATAATAAATATGAACTTTCTCCAGTGGCGCCGATGTTTATTTCATAAGGTATTGAGTAAAAATAAGATCTGAGTATAACTGAAATATATGATGAGTATATTGAGTTATAACAGTCTTATATCCAAAATCTAAATTTTTATTACTTAAACAACTAAGTGCCAGTGTATTCCTGTTTACCACGGGATCACCGACCACGATTAAACATCGCATCCGCAAAACCTACATATAGGGATTGGTACTGCTGACTTTCTCCTAGATGAGATTATTGTAAATCGTACATTTTTTTACTAGTTTATCAACTTTCAAATTAATATTTTTTTATTTTAAATGTATAAACCACATGAATATTAAAAATAGTAAAATAACTACCCGCCAAATGTACTTTAGAAAAAAATTATTACGGATAATATTATCAAAAGTGCCTGGTAACTGTATGGATACTAATAATAATAGTGCAACCGTCAGCATAGACACAATTATAGTAAAAAAATTGGGGGGGGGGTTTCAGCCCCTCACGTACATTTTTCAATCACTACCTCTCAGAAGCTTTTTTTTCACCTTTTACCCCCTATAAAAAATGTGCTTATTGAAAGGCAAGTAAAATTTAAAAATAAATAATAAAACAATAATTCGCTTTTAAGTATAGATAACAGATTTAATAGATGTAATTTTATACATTTTATATTCTTATTTTTCTAGTTTTTTTATCAAATGTATTTAAAATAATTTCGGTGTCAACAATAATATCTTTCTCATTATCAGTATTGCAAATTTCGAAAACCGTTCCTGTGACATAGTTGACCCTTGAGATAATTATTAATTTTTCTTATTGCAGAAAATGACCGTTCGCAAGTAGCCAAACTGACCGGAAGAGTTATAGCCAATTAAATAATTTTAAAAATATTTGGAAACGTATCTTTAGATATATTTTCTTTGATGGTTAAATAGTTAGGAACTCCTTTTATCATATTTTTCAAAACATAATTATATTCTGCGGTGCGCTATAATAAGCACGGTCTAGACTTTAGAAATAATAGACATATTATTTAAGACCATGATTATAATATTGTTATTAAAAAAAGAATAATAAAAATATATTTTATTCGTTTTTTCAGTAGTAATCACATTTTTTATTTATCAATATAATATTATAAAGTTCTGTATGGTTTTTGGGGGGCTTTGAATCTTTTTGAGGAGGCTTAGCCTCTCCAGCTCCCCCCCTAATTGCGCTTATGACCATCAGTTCGATTATTCATTAATAACTGTAAGACGTTTTATCTTGCAGCGGTTA